TATAAAACTCTCTGACTATGGGAGATAATGATAGGTTTTTAGTGCTGAATATAGATTACTTCTATGTATCTAGAATCTAAATAACCAGGAAGCTCAACCAAATAGAAAAACAAAACAAAATAGAGCAGGTCAAAGACTTATTTTAAAAAGAAAACTTGTGAGAGATGTCAGGTTTGGCTTTATAGACATCGGAATATACATTTATTTTTCTAGATTAAGTGCACGCATATTGCTGGCAATTATTATTAATGGACTATCAGTTTCCACCATATTTCATAATAATAATCTTTAATTGTGTTAAAGGACTTAAATAATTATCATTGAGGGTTGGAGTTATTATGAAATAAGTATTCTTTTCTGTGTGATTGTTGGAACACTTCTCATTCTTAGAAATCCCCAGTTATGCATGTTGGAAACACGATCATAGAGGTCTCCTTCTTATCTCCCATTTTGCACTACAATCCAGTGTGAAGTAATTTGCTAGTTATATAAAATGTAAAGAGAAGAGGGCAAATAATAGACTATGAGAAATATTAATAAATTATAATTCCCAGTAACACTTATTAGTTTGCCCAAAATAATCCAGAATATTTACATGCAAAGTTACTTGATCTTTGTAAGTGTGGCTTGTAAATCAATAACTCTGTTATTAGTCTCTGGCATTTTGCCTTGTTTGGGGTAATGTTATTTAAAATATAAATCTTAAAAGTAATTATTTACACAAACTACTATTAAATTTTACGATTCAACACTAAATCACAAAATAATGGTAGTAGCCTAATATATTTCACTGATAAAAAGACTCTAGAGTGGTCTTTGATGGATACAGGTTTCCAGCTGTATCTAATCTTTAACTCCACTATATTGTTTAAGATTAGTTCTGTGTGTTGTTCTCAACTTTCATTACCTTCCCTGTGTAGAAAACTAGACCCTTAGAATACTTGAAAACAGTTTAAATCCAAGTGAATTTGTTGCACTATTATTAAATTTATACAAAATACATGCTTGTTGTCATTATTGTTTTGTTGTTGCAAACTGCTCTTTTCTTTCTCCTATCCTTTGCTGTCTTCAGAAATGGGTATTTTGATTTCCATGAAAATCAATGTACGAAATATGTTATTATTCTATACGAATAACATGCTACTTGCTATTTCTGAGGAGCCATGCAATTTTAAATTAATTATAGATGAGTTCTAAGTGGTCTAATCTCATGACTTAGATAACCTTAAAAACTGAAAAGTGACCATTAAATAATGAATAGATCCTAGTGTAAAGCAAAGCATTTTTTTGACAGTTGTGGATTATGAATCTGATCATTTTTACGTGTGTGTGTTAGAAAGTGCTTATTTGGGCTGGAATTTTCCATAGTATTTATAACTTACTGTATCAACTCCAAATTATATATTGTATCATTTTATTACTATGTTCATTACATTGTTGGAAACAATATAATTTTGTCCTGATAGCATATATAAAATACTATTTCTCTTCAACTGGGACACATTTGGGTTTGTTTTTATTTTACTATTGATTTCCAAGAGTGCAAAATAATACCTTTCTGCCACATTGCGTACAGTCTTGAACAATTTCTCATAACCTGCCACAATTCCAAAGTCCCATGAAAGGAACTGCACTCCAAAAATATCATCTAAAGTGTTTTTGTTTGCCATTTTTTTATAAGATTATTTGAATAGACATTTGGATGGAGCCAGGGCTCTATCAATCAGACTGAAATTTGTGTGATTAATTAGTTTTTGAGAAAGAGGTATCTGTTAGCCAAAATGTTGAAAATTTTAAGTTCATTTAATCCAGGAGGCTATTTTAATTTTGGTAATATTCCTATCCATGGGGGTAAATGCTCACAAACTATCATACCTAGAATTTTGCTTTTAGTGGGATAGGCAAAGTTAATGAAAACATCCTTTTAAATAAACAAACTTACCTTTGAAACTTGTTTTGCTGCCTAGTATGGTATGTGGACATGGGTGTGCTTTCAAGTGAGTCCTTCCGAAGTTTGAGATGTTTTGTTTTACACAAAGTCTCTATTAAAAATAACAATTGCTCAATATCTTTTTCCACATGGAAGAAAGTGGAAAATGTTACTTAGACATTCTGGAGGGGTAAGGAAAAGGCTGCCTACAAGCATTTGCAAGCATTGCACGAATCACTGTCTCCACCTAGTGCTGGCTTTAGGAATTAAGTATCCAGTCTTTACTGCTATTATAAAGTTCTAATTTATGTTATGCACATGTACAGTCATTATAGCTGGGCCTGCCAGTACCATTAAAGTTAAGGGTCTGTCAACTCTTCATTTATGAAACAGAATTTAAAAGGCCTATTGCTCTTACATAAAAGCTCACGCTGTGCTGGAACTCTGCAGTCTAATGACTTTTGCTCTCTGTGAATGTTTATTAACGGTGTAAGTTGTACTTGACCAGTTCCTTTTAAAGACACCCTGATGGGTTGAAGTTATAAAGGCACTACAACTGGAAGAAGGACTCTTTTCCTTTTCTTGAATGTAAATTAAAAAGCGAGTTTACATGTATATACATATGCTGATATAGGTTTTAACCACATTATTATCATATTCTTGAAGCTCTGTTTTTGTAACATTTTCTTCTTGAAGCTTAAAGCTTATCCTGATCATCCAACCTCTTTGTCAAGATATAAATTATATTTAACTTGGACTTTTTGTGCACGTGTATGTGTGCTAATACACCCTACCTGAGAATATGGCCTATTAGAGAATATGGACTTCCCATCCACTTTCTTCTAGTGTTTTTATTCTAGTCTCTGAGAAAACAGTAATCCGAGGTAATGTTTATATGTTAAGGTTTTATTAGGAGGTACAGTCCTAAGGCAGTAAAAGTGAGGAAAAGTGAAAGTGTTTCAGAGTGATGCTATAGGATATAGGCATGTGCTTAAAAGCAAGTAGAGACTTCTGGAAGTGGTTCTAAGTAACAAGAAAAAGAAGTTCCTTATGTCCAGGCCCTGGAGAACTTGAGACGTGAAAGGATAATACTACAATTAGAGAGACTTTCAAAAGAAGATCTCCTTTAGGAGATAGTCAGGCACTCAGAAAAATAATAGACGTGAACTAAGTAGGCATGTTCCTGTCACTTTCACCAGAAACAGCAGGAGTTTATTACCTTCTGAAGTTGTTCATTCACTATCCAATAGTTCAAAGAGGTTGTCTGAAAAAATAACTTTCCATTTCTGTTTAGACTTCATGTCAGGTGATAGGATTTTTATTGTCTTCTATGTTGATAGTGCTTTGGGAGGCATTTTGGGAAACTAAAACATCATGATTTCAGTGTGAAAGGAAGAGAAGTGTACCACAGTGGTTGCATCCCACTACTGCCCTCGCTCCTGAGACCTCTTAAGTTGGTTCCCTTGGTCCTTGTTGGTAGGAATAGGGCTTTCTTTCCTACCATCACCCTTCAGTTTCTAGAAGAGTTTTTACCAAGTGTTGAGGAAAACGGAGCCCATGAACATAATGTTGAGTACTGTAAGTGGTTCTAATAGGACTTGGAAACTCAGAAAACATTCTGGCCTGGGTGACCACCACATGTGTTAGAAAATTATGGATGATGCACTGTTCCTGTATCTGCTGATCAGTGAGATATTATATTATAAGGTGTCTGCTTCATTTCTGGGGTCATTCTTCCTTAGGTATGATTATTCACTCTCCATCTGTTAAATTTTACTGGCTAATATTGATTTAGGGATTTGACATCTTTAATTTTCAGTAAGATTACTTTATTACTTCTGAATTACCAGTAACTGACTTCATTATTATCTACTTCATGGATGAATTAACTGGATTTCTGTAACTTTATGGTTTAGAATGTTTTATATAGCATCAAAATCATGCTATGATCCCAAGACTGGTGAAGTTGCATAAGATCATGTTTCTCAATTTTCTATTTCAAATCTTTGCTATTTTCTAAAAATTCATTTATTTTATAAATGTTTTGGCATATTTAGTATACACATGCATAATAAACTTTTAAAGTCATCCCTTTGCTAAATATTTAGTTCAGTTTTCCCTCGTTTATATTTTTGTTTTTATCTAGATTTAATCATGAAAGATTTGCTCCTTTATTTTTATTTCAAAAATATTCAAGTCTTTTTCTGATACTCTGTTGTCTAAATTATTTTTCTATTTGAATCCTTATTATTTCCTTTCATGTAAATTGAGTCAAATGATTTATTAACTTCCCTTTACTATTTCACACTTTACAAGTAAACATTATGAAGTGATGTAGTAGTTCTAGATGTATCCTGTAAGTTTTCATGTATGTTGTTTAAAATGCTTTCTATAGAGATATTGAACATGTTATTATTTTTTAACTTCTTTAGTATCGTATTTTTGAGAAGAGAAAGCATGCTTTAAAGGATCATGTGATTTAAATTGTAAAATTAAACTATATTTATTTTATGTAATCATTTGCCACAAAGTGAGGCTTAATCTCATTTAAAAAATTGTATTGGCATTAACTTTGCATTTGGCAAATACTACAACTATGACAGATATTTTTATTTTACTCAAAAAGTTCACCTTGTGACTTGTAATTCTCTGATCACATAGTGATGTGTCCACAATAAGTTGATTCATTTTGCATGTCTAAAAAGCATTGCTTGTTTTTTCCTATTATTATTATTGTTTATGTTGTTGTTATAAAATGATTGCTATTGTACTTTTTGTTAAAATTCTGCTATCAATTATAACATTGCCATTAATTCCTGATTTTTAAAAATGCATTCTTTAATTTTAAAACATTTTCATTTACTTCTCTGATAGCAAATTAGCAGATTTGGGTTTTAAGTTCAAATTGAGTCTTTGCCCAGTGAGTAGTTTGAAAAGATATTTAATCTTACTAAATTACATTTTGTCTTTTATTTGTTTAAGATGGGCCATAAAACATGAAGGAACCAATAAGCCAGACCAGTGGAAACATTCCAGGGTTGAAAACCCTGTCTGGAACAAGCTTACCTACATGTGGCCAGTTCTGCCTTGTGGCCAACTGAACGAGGTGGTATCATTTAGTATAAGACATGTTTCTGAGACTTTAAGATCTGGTGTATAGTCAACTTTTCTAAAAAATTTCATGTAGTGTTGGATTTGTAGTTGTTAGGAGCAAACAACAAATTAATTCTATCAATTTTCTATCAACTAATTAGAATTGTTTTCTTCCATTATAGAAATTATTTTATCTATTCTTTTTGTAGCCTGTCAAATTTTACTTTGTATCTTGCAATCTAGTTCTTAAACACATATGTATATCTGATTTAAAGCTTTCATTACATAGAGACTCTCTACAGCTCTAGTAAAAGTACTAATTACCCAATACTCTTAGATATATTCCAACTTTGGGGGTTATTATTTCATTGGTATATTTTCTTTCTATCTTTTTATGTTCTTTATTTTTATATTCTATTTTATGGGAGTCTCTACAATCAGCATAGTTAATATTAAAAACTGTCTTAAGAATCATTATCTTAACACTAAAGAGTTTTTGGCCTTTTCTATTCATTGTAATGGCAGATATACTTAGATTAGCATAGCTATCTGTTTATCCTGACTTTTCATTTATTATCCATTTTTACTTATTTGATTATATTATTTGATCTTTTCTTCCCATTTCCCCCCCTACCTACTAGTTTGGAAATTCTATAGTTACTTTTTAAATTATTACTCTGAACAAATTAGCTTGCATATGTAAATGATCAAACCTAAACTTTACAAATATATTTATTCTTTTCTCAAATAAATGAGAACATTAAAATGACAACTTCAATCATATGATTTGTAACTTATATGAAGTTATCACATTTTAATCATTCTAAAAGCTTTTGCAAGATAGGAAATTTGTTATATAGAGTCCATACTTAGAAATTGGCTTCTGATTTTTCATCTCTTTTGTTATAATTCCTTCTTACATCTCAGTCCTTCCACCTGGAATTACTTTCTCTTTGCTTAGTATAGCCTTCATTTAATTATTGGCAGCAAACTTCTTCAGTATTCACTTATCAACTAATATCTTTATTTTCTTGTTTATAAAAAATGTTTTCACTTAGAACACTGAAGATAGCATCACTGACTTCTACATTGGTGCTATTGAGAAGTAGCCTACCATTCTAAATGTTATTTCTTTGAAGTTATTGGCCTTTTTCTCACTGTCTGCTTTTAATATTGTCCCTTTTATGGGACATTTTTCAGTTTTACCACAATATGTCTGAGAGAGGATTCTTTGTAGCTTTCCTGTTTGGGGTTCTGAAATTTGTGGGTTGCTTTCTTGTCTAAAGATTGTCATGTACTTTTCTCTCTCCTACATCATTTTGCTTCATTTTTAGAAAGAAATTCTCATTAGGTTTACACTAGAACTTTTCAGTTTGACCTCAGTATCTCAACCATATTTGTATAGTTTCCATCTCTTTAACATGAATTTTGCATGTTTACAGATATTTTTCTTTCCAATTATTAGTTTTCTACTTATCCTTAATTAATGTCTTAAATTGCAAATAAGGGTCAGCCTATAGTATGAATATTCAGTGAAGATTATTTTTCTCACCCTCACAGAGAACATGCTGGAGGTAGTCTATTTTTGGCAACCACCCGGACAGGTATTATTTCTGGCTTGCCTTTTCAATCAAGTTAAGCCTATTGATTCCTTTATTTATGAGGGATATGTCCTGCAGTTAGACTTCCCATATGGGCTGGACCTTGAAATTTATCTCCTTCCCCCTTCTCTTATAAGATCATAGAAGCAGAAACTCAAGCACAATGAGCTTTGGCAAATTCTCTCAAGATAAGATTCTATCACAATGTTTTGTTTATTTCTTTGGGTCTTTAGGTATGTTTCACTTCAGTGTTAGGTCAGTTAAACATTTCTATTTTCTTTTTCATTTTTTGGTCATAATTTCTGGCATCAACCAACTGTTTTAATTTCTCTTTAAATTACAGTCACTTATGCTTCCACCCTAGTTGAATCAGTGAATCTCAGCACTACAGAAAAAAAGACAAAAGAAGTCAGAAACCAGAAATCATTGCTTAGACTTCCAAAAATACCTATGGAGAAGCAACAATCTAGAAAGTTAGGTTTTGTTGAGAGAAGTTTCTTTATAATACTAGAGGCTGTGGTTTGCATATCTTGAGCCAAGCACTGGATGAATGCATCTGAGATTCAGGGTTTGAGACACTAACTAGGGCCAGCATAGAACCAAGGGTGGAAGATAAGAAAGAGAGACCAACAGATCCAGCCTCAGAAAAGGAAAAACTGAATTGTACTAATTGTAGGTGTTCCTCCAGCGCTTCAGGAAGGGCAGAGGCTAAAATTCAGAAATCAGAGAGGATAACTTATACCTCAAGTGAAGATAATCAGGTGCCAGCAGCTTGCCAATAACAAGAAGCACATCCTTAGTGGTCTTCGAGAATTAAGGGTGAACGCCTACATGTAGAGCAGGGGTCTTTTTTTACCAGCATGTGGTTTATTTCATGAACTTTTTCTTTGAAAGATTTATTTGTTTATGCATACAGAACTGAGTACAAGCCAGAAATGTAGAGGTGGTGAGAGGCATAAATAAATAAATAAACCTTAAAAAAAATTTCTGTGAGTGGCCTTGGATTTGACAAGTAAAATAGGCTACTGAAAACTTTGATACATTCCAACAAAGCAGTAGTTTTTGACTAGATAAAATGTAACTGTAAATTCTGACCCTCACTGTGAACCAGAGGGAAAAGGCAAAAGGACTAAATTAACTAAAATGAGCCAAACTGAACACTTATTTTCAGGTTACTCAGCCCAAGGATCCTGTTATTTCTTGAAACATTTGAGAAGAAGAAAGTATTTAACAAGCAGGAAAAACTCATTGAAATTAATTATAATCTATTTTACTTAAAGTCTAGATACATCTTAGCTGAAGGAACCATAGTTTCTTTTAGTCTTATTTTTCTAAAATTGATTTTGTAAACAGAGGTTGACTTTTATCTATGTACTTATATGCAATTAATACTTTTCTTGGAAGGACTTTTCATGTAAATAAATTGATTTTGAAGTATAACATTCATATTGTAGGATCCAGGATACTTTGGTCATTATAATAAGCACATGTATATTTCAGATTTAATTTTCTAACTTTGCTATTTACCTAATCATTATTTATTACACATATATAGACAATGAGGGCAAAGCAAGGAAGGAGCTAGCCCTGATCTCTACCTTCATGGAACTTGCAGTTTAAGAAACATAGGTGTGTATCAAAAAAAGAAGGAACCAGGAAAAGAAGGAGGCAGACATGATGAATAAAGAACAAAGAAGGGAGAAAAAGAAACTCACCAAAAAAGTTCGGTGTACCAGAAATCAAAGCTATATTTTGAGTCAATTAATTCAGGCATATGTTCAGTGTAAAAAAGATTAGTGAGACTGATTGAAAAGACCTGAAAACTGAGTCAAGTTTTAAATCTAGGGAAATATCTAATAGGCACTATCTCAGTGAGACTCACATTCTCCTGTTACTTTTGTGACAAGAACCTTCTGAAATAGAATGAGCATGGGAAGCTTTAAGGAAATATAGACAGTGTGAATTATTTTTTGGTGACTCAGACCACTTACCCAACTAATTTACTTCTTAGTGGTGACAGCTAGTCTCTGAAATTATTTTATGATATAACTGATTGAGTAATAATTAGCATGGATCATATTATCTATCCTGAAAGGGATCATATTATCTATCCTGAAAGGGAATTGATAATATTTTTGGAAACAAACAACATTTTATATGTCTTAGGATAGCAGTGTTTTAAAAATATGTAAAAATCTTAGAAAATACGGAATTAATGGATTGTGTGACTGAGTTTCTGGGAATTCAGGTTATTTTCTCAAGTTATTTACCTTTGGGAAAAAGTTGTAAATTGCGAAGTTGTACTTCTAAGTATTAATAGGTAAAGAAGACTGAATTTTCATATTCAAGGATGAAGTCACCAGTAAAAGTGAATTTGAAAGATGTAAGATGTTGGAATGGACCACTGGATATTGAATTTAAAATTTCTAATTTACTAAATTAAAATAAAACATAGATACACATATATGTGGAAACTCCCATGTTAAACAAAAGAACATTAATTTATTAAGAGAGTGAAAATTAATTGTTAGTATATAGGGAGAAAAGAAGACGTGGGAAGTTCCAAGAGACAAAAATTTTAAATCTACTAGGTTATGAATAACAAATTGTTGGAGAGCCTACTTGACTAAGAAAATTAGGGCACTGGAGCAGGACTCCCCCCTGCCCAAAACAAAACAAAACAAACAACAACAAAAAAACATTGCTGTCTGTTTATGAAAGAGATGTGAAAAAGAAAAGCAGCATTTTCAGTTTCAGAGAGTACCACGCCTGTGATCATTGTCCTGACAATGTAATTATGCTATGGAAGAGGGTGAGTGCCTGAGTATTGGAGAAATTCTGATTTTTCAGAGCTTTTCCCGATCTACCCAGAATCTGTTAGTTGATAGACGTTGAATAGCTTGTGTCACCCAAGAGAAGCAATGACAAAAAGAATGGGACATTAGAATTCCACAGAGTTTAATTATTCATGTTTTGTTTTCTGACACTATCCTGACATCATATTTCTCTGTTTCAATGAAGGATTAAGGAAAGTGTCTTAAACATCAGAATAAAGTTCAAAGTATAGGAAGACATGCCAGTGATAGTTCCTGCATTTGTAAAATTTTGAAACCCAAGGTAATTTTTTCATCACTTTGGATTGAGTTTCTGTGATGTCTCACATTAAAAGGCAAAGACTGTCAGGCACCCTTTATCTATATGGACGGCAAAGAAAACCATCTGAAATCAGTTGTGCTCCAGTGGTGTTAAAGGCAGAGTCTATAGTGGTTATCACTTGGTATGACACCAGTTTAGGGAATGAAAGGCTCTAAAAATACCTAGAACTAAGATAACATGTTTTAGAGAAGTTCGTGAGAATTACAGCATGCTTAGGATATTGAAATAAAAACTTAGTTTCACTTTTTAATTCTATGAATTAATAGTTCTTGCAGATTAATCTTAAGGGACAATCTTGTTTCTCTTGCCTTTCCCTTCCATGGCTCAGAAAGAAAGAAGAGGGAAAGTTTATACCAAACTTCAATTGGCTGTAATTTTTTTAATGAGAAATCTGCTCTTCCCTCTCTCCTACCTGCCCCATTCTTTATTTCATAATAACTTGTCTGAAAGTAATGTGTTTGCTCTTTAATATCTTTGCTGTAGGAGACTTACAGAACAACCTAAAACTCTTCATGACTTGAATCTGGGGATTTGTTTTTTCCATGTTGTATTCTCCTGTGGACTTGCTTGTTCATTTTTTTCTTCCTCATCATTTTTTTTTTAGTTGTTCTGTCGGGGCCTTTGCTCTGTGTATGTTCTCCTCTCCCACTGTTCTGGGCATGTACCCATTGGTGGGTACCATTACTGGGACCTCATGGGGCTTGGGGTGTTGCTAGGAGTTTACCTGAGGTTGATCAGGGCTGGAATCTGGTAATCATGGGATTTGATGCTTGTTGGGGTGGGATTTAGAGCAACTCACCTTAAGATTGATGGAACCAGGATATGAGTATTATGGTGTCAAGAAATGAAAAGGGGTTTCTTCCTTTTTTTTATATTGATTAAAGATACTTCACATACAAAGAAAAAACAGTACAAGTTAATTCAGATCTTCTAATAGCAATACATTCACCTTGTTGCTCAAGCTACAAACCTGGTAACTATACTTCATACATTTTCCAGCTTGTAACGAAACATAGGTTTTATATATATTTTCTTTCTTGTCTTTTTTTTTTTTTGAAGTAACATTGGTTTATAGGACTCCCCCATTAGCCTCAACTCTACAGTCAGATTTCACAAATTGAAGGGGAAAAAAATTACCATTTTTCTTTTAATTTAAATAAACATTAAATAGAATTATCTGAAACATCTTAGGTGCCCAATACAGTTGTGGTGAATGAAATACTAAAGATATTTGCTATGGTTCATATATTTACATAGTGTTTAGAAAGGTCTTATTTATTATTCCATTATTTGGTCATTTCTTTGTAAAGGATTTTGATTGGCCAATAGAAGGACTGCTCGTTCCAAACAGCCCTCCCATGAAGAAACCTGTGTGTAAAACAGTGGGGCAACATGTCCCCATGAGGCTCCGAGTTTTGCGGAATGGAGACAAGAACAAGAACAGAGCCCTTATTATAATAGGTCCAGACATCTCACCTAGGAGGAAAATGAAGTAAGAACAACCTTTTCATATTTCTCATTAAATACACTAATTTCTACATATCTTTGTCTTCTTGATTACAGGTTATTTTTCTGGGACAGTCCAGTGTTTATTATTTTTAAAAGTCTCCCTTGTTGATATTTGGAGATGGAAATAGGAACTAAGCTTCATTTAGTTTCTGTGTCAGCAGCTTATTTTCATTTGAGCTATTTATTAGACTAAGAATGGGAGTAAAAATTAGAAATCAATAGTTATGATAAAAAAGCTCTATGATAATACCTATTTTGTATAAGCATTCATTTGTTTCTTCTGTTTTGAAATAACTAAACTCATACTTTGCCAGTATAATTTTGTAATTCCTTACATCAGTTGTTATGCACAATTATTTACATTTAGGTATTTGATGGACAAGTCTAGTTTTCAAAATATAACTATATAATTTATTCCTTGCCTTGGAATAACATTTTAAAAATGTATCATTCAGGAAATCACTGATCTATGCTTTAGCTTACTATTTGAAATTGGAATAAAATTCCCAACAGCCAACAAATCCAACATTGGAAGATCACCTGCTGTATTTTCATTATGTTTTGTGACAAAAGGAATCATAGGTCAGTGCAAAGCTCTGATGTAAAGAATGAGTTAAACACATTGTTTCTTATATTATTAAAAGTGATATTACCTCTTGACCTTTTCCTTGAGATGTTTAGAATATTTGAGCCTGCTGATAATAGTTTAATATTACTTTCTTCACATTGATTAAATATACTTTATACATCACTGAACAATGAGTAACATTCAGATCGGCTGTCCACTGAACTGCCTGTAAAGATGATAAAGTAAAAAATTAATCTTCAAAGTAAAGTCAAGCCTGAAATTGAAATCTTTGACGCATACATTTCATAATTAGTTCATTCTGCTAGATGTAAAAATGTGAGGTTAATGCCCTTAAAGTAGTGTTTGACTTTTAATATCTAAAGTTAACAAATCACTTTGTCCCTTTCTACACCTATATATATCTTTGACAATGGCTCAAAGTTACATGCAGATTTTTATCTTATTTTAACATTAATAGCTTAGAATACATGATTTGTTTTAATGGGCAACTATTCTAGTAGAGTTTGTAAAACTCTTTACTGTCTGTGTGCATGGAACAGTATGTCTTGATTAATCAAGTATTAACTTTATACATGTACATGAATTAATTTTTATTTCTATAAAATTAAAATACACTGGCATACAACTGATACTAAAACTTTACTAAATGTAGTTTAATTTTTCTTGACTGATTCAGAACAATTTCTAGGGGATTATCAAAAACATTCCACACTCTTGGGGCCTTCCCTGGTGGTGCAGCAGGTTAAAGCACAAGACTAAGAAGCTAAAGCCACATCAGCATGAGTTGCATCCCTGCCCCAGAGGTGATCCACATGGCACAGCAGACATCTCCTGACCCACCCACTGCTGCCCTCAGTAGTGTACTTTGTCAGTAGGCCTGTTCTGTTCCCCACTCAGTGTCTGGTGAATCCTCTCACCACCCCTGCACCTCTGGCCTATACCCCAGTTATGTATGCATAAATAAATAAATCTTTTTAAAAAAACATTCCACACTCTTAACCACAGAAGTTTAGTAAGTCTTGGTAACAGAATGTTCAAATGGAAGAATTTTGACTGACTATAGGGCCTGTGTTGCCAGTTCTAGAGAGCACCACACACATAATTCTCTGTATGAATGGCACCCCAGAATTGTACAGGGTGGAAGCCCGGGTGTTTATTTTTAAGCTATCTAAACAAAATATCCTCTCTCCCAAAATAAATAAATATGTTCTCTCCCATTAAAGTGCTAATGACACATAGGAATACATTAGTTGTGCTAACCTAAAACTTTTATGTAAGTTTATTTTTTTAGTGTTTTTACACATGAAATTAAGCTAAATAATGAAATCTAGATCCATTTCTGGAAGCATTCTTTCCTTTGGTTATTAGATAATTTATTCTAGATGGTTTTGAGGGACTTTTCTTGGTGGTAGTGGTTCTTCCATATCAAAGGAAGATCAAGTAGCATTTCTTCATTACCTAGTTGATCATTACTCTTAGTGAGTAACAAGGTCTTGTTAATTAGACTTGCTAATGGTTGTCAAGTTCATGTAAATTAAGACCACTATGATTTTTAGTGTCTCTCAAAACTAAGTTTAACAAGGAAAATTTTATAAGTGATTTTTTTTTTAAGATTTACTTATTTATTCGTACAGAACTGGGGTACAGGCCAGAGATGCAAAGGGTGAGAGGATTCACCAAAGATGGAGCGGGGTACAGAACAGGCAGATCTGCGAAGCACACTGCTGAGGGGAGCAGCAGGCGGGTCAGGAGAGGTCTGCCTCGCCATGTGGATCTTCTCCAGGGCAAGCAGGGATCCAACTCATGCGGAAGTGGCTTAAGCTTCTCAGCGCAGTGCTTTAACCCGCTGCACCACCAGGGAGGGCCTATAAGTGATATTTTAAAGAATTATGAGAGGAAAATCTTAGCATGACGCTATATAGAAAAGATAATTTTAATGTACATATGTGTTTTATTAGTAAGTGATGAACCCTAGACTGATTAAGTTCCTTAACATAGCTTTTATAGCCCTTATGAGCTACCCCTACATATTTCTCTGACTATTATCAACACTCTCCAATTCCAGCTCTTAAACCCCTTTCCACTTCCCGTTTGCATTAATAATAAAGGATGAGCTTGGACTTCATCTACATGACCCACTGCACCATTGAGTTAACTCTAGTTTTAAGCATCACAGTCTTCTGATTGCCAAGGACTTTCAACAGCACACCTCCCACCAATCTTGGTGTGATCACCTGCTTACCACTCCACCCATGAACTGGACATCTGTCTTCTATAGTATGGTCACAGAATGGTGTGTCCTTCTTAATTAAAGATTAAGCTACTTTATTCACCACATCTTTGGGACACACAAGGGGCCCTAACTCAGTGCTTATTGAGGACATGAATGAAGGAATGATTAACTATTCTTGATCACCATATTGAATGAATGAATGCGTATTTTTGACCATTAATTTCATGTCTTTCACTTAAGAAAAAGAATGATTCTAAAAATACATAGAATGGTTTTCTAATTTGAAAACACATATATTCCAATTAAGCATCCTTTTCCTGTAATAATCATTATATTCATTTCCCAGTTTAAAAAAAATCTAGGTTGAATTGGAAACTTAATATATGAATACATAGGAATAAATCTGAAAATGAACAATGTAAGAATAAAGATCACTGACAAAATAGATGTAATCAATACCTGTATATTTTTTTCAATTGACACATTTAATATTTTGAAGTATCAGTATTACTAAGAGTGTTAATACATTGAAATTTTTTCTTCTTCTGTTGTTCACAGTATAAAGGTTTTTGACATTTTATACTTAATATTATAATAGTTTTATGTACTGACATGTTAATCAAATTTTGCATCATTTCTTTCAGAAGTGGTGACATTGGAAAGAAAGAAAATATGAAAAATTACATTACTAAATATTCAGAAACAGAAACAAACCAGATTGAATTTCACCAACTTTTGGAGAGGTAAATACTCCCCTACATTTTATGTTCCTCCTGACATGCACTAAGTTCCCACCAAGCAAAACTTCTGTAGTTCTTAACTCTTCTTGATGTGCTCCTAGTCACCTGTGAAGGTCCAATCAGGTGTCACTGTCTTAGATAAGTCTCCTTGGAAGAATGCGTTGTTTTTTGTCTGTATTCTCACAGCACCCTCACAGGTACATGACAGCATGCACTAATTCATATACTGCAGTTCCTAATACCGGATGGGAAAGCTCTTCAGGAAATAGGGTAACGATAATTCATGTTGATATCCACAGGGCAAGAAATCATCTTTTTTGGGCTAGGGAGAAATCACTGTTTAAGAGTCTAAAAATAAAAATTTCTATTGCAAAGATGTTAAAAGGCTATAAAGGTAATTTCTGATGAGAAAAATGAGGAATTGCTTGGTGATGGATATGACTTTGGAGAAAGAGAAAAACCTCAACAGAAGGGTGTTTAGATAAAAGGCAGCTTGCAAGCAGCTGTATACAAACAGGAAAGTATGGGGCATATTGAGGAATGAAAAATCAGTACTGATATGTCTTATATTTATTCATCATGTCTAACACTGTGTAAGTACTTTTAAAGGTCAACCCATAAGCTTTAAACCTCTGGAAGATAAGAAATTTAGCTTTCAAGAAGTTAAATAACTTGCCTGCTTAAATAAGGGGGAATGAGATTCAAAAGGAGTCTACCCTGCATCCTGCTTATTGTCATTAATGATCCTAACCCTTGATTTATTTTCCCTCCTCTCTGCTGGAAACTGTGTTTGTATGCAAAGTTAGTTTTTGTGTCTTTTATTACAGGTGCACTGAAGTTCTAAATTTACCTTCTGCAGCTCGGAGGTTGTTTAATGAAAAAGGGAAGGAAATCTTTGCCCTAAAAGACCTGCAAAGAGATGAACTAGTAAATACATTTTCTCTTTACGAAGAAAGATTTGATTTAAGGACATTTATGAAAAATATATAAGTAAAATGAAAAAAAAATATCATCCGTAATCTTTGCATCTAGAAATTTCCAAATTATATTTTGGTACATGTAGTACAAGTACATTTCTACCAGTGGCTGTCAGAATTTTCCTGTTAAAGAATCAGATAGTAAATATTTACAGACCAGATGGTCTCTGTTGAAACACAAACTCTGCCATTGTCGCAAAAGAGCAAACACGGACAACATAGAAACAAATGAGCATAGTTGTGTTCCAGTAAAACTTTACTGGCAGCAGGTCAGATTTGGCCTCAACTGAAGTCGTGTATCCCTGAATTACATCTATCCTTTCCTCCTCTTTCCTTTCTTTCTTTAAAAAATATTTATTTTTACAATTTTGGTATAATTGTAGAATCATTAGAAATTACAAAGAGAAAATAGAATATTGCTGTTTCTAGAACAAAATTCTTGAGATCCATCTAAGTTGTGTTAATCAATAGTTTGCATCTTTTTCTCACTGAATATCTTTCCATTGTGCAAATCATTCCATGATTTGCTTAACACTGCATCTATGTAGGGTCTTTCAGTTATTGCCAATTTTGGCTATTACAAATATATGTTGCTGTCAGACATAGGACATGGGATCAGACTTATTTCTTTGACAGGTGTATGTTTCATGTGGCGAATCTTGGATCAATCCTCATCTGTCTATTGCTCAGCAAAAGAAGCAAATCTTCCTGAGGAGCCTTGCTTCAGACATTTCTAAAATTCAGACTTTCTGCAGTATACACACTATAGAGAGTAAGCATTGGAATTTATTTCTTTTAATCTAACAAAATAAAATATTTGATGAGATTACCTTTTAAAACAATTCAAGTTGATTTAACCAGGTGTTCTTTTATGCCTACTTCTTGCTAGTTAGCTCTTTAGACCAGCATATTTTATAGGGTTATAAATTTTAATTTATACTACACTTTGGATATACAAACAAAATATAACATATTCATTTTGTCTTTAAAAATATGGCTTTCTTTGTGAGCCTCATGCACTCACACCAAAGAAAAAAAATTGATAACCAGTCAGATTTCAATGTTGTCCCATTTATAATTTAAATAGCCCCTTTAAATCTGAAACTTTCAGATTTCCCAATTTCTAGTCTCACTTTACTTCCTCTCTCAGATCTAGAAAGAGAACTTGGAGTTCAGAGACCCTCACTCTCTGGAACCTGCTGGTAGAAGTGCGTGGTTGGATGACTATATTCCATTCTTTTGGCCCAGACATTACTTAGGGTGGTTGGTGCTTCCTGGCTGCCTTGGACTTGCCTGTTACACACACACACACACACACACACACACACACACACACACACACAATGAAGTCTGGCTGTACTTAGGTGGTGTTCTCTGCAATCCTTGCTACAGAATTCCTTCATATCTAGTTGGCAACCACTTCTGGAAAGTTCCCCAGAAAATTCTGGATCATGGGTATAACTCTCAGAAACCAAACCCAAGTTCATCTAGCATTGCCCAGAGATCAGAAGTAAGGGAAACTTGAAAAGAACTTTCTGCAGTTTCTTGAACAGTGGGTGGTGGTCAATATTTTCAGAGTGTAGTAAGTTACTGAAAGTGAAGCATGATGCCCAGTGCTGGTTTTTTGTCTTCCTTTGTCTTCTGCCTCAGATCACCTTAGGCCCAGAAATGGTAGTTTTTCTCAGTCAATCCAGAGGTAAAACCCTTGATTTGTGAAATGGGAGTGAAAGGGATCTGGAAAAATCCTAAATCATGTCAGTATCATCCCAACTTACATTGTGTTTTGCGAATTGTTTTATGGCAATATGCTGTGCTTGAATATCAAAACTATCTGTATTTTGCTTCATGTTTGCAATGTTTCATCTTCTGGTCTTCCTCTTTTTAGGCTCTTGTTCCAGGAACCAGGACAAAGGTGCTATAACTAGGAAGGCAAAGGAGAAAAAGCCTTTAATATAATTTAAAACATTAGCATATATTAAACACTGTTCAGTATGCTTTGCCTATTAAGACATTAGGAATTTTCACTGAGAAATTTGAGATCCCAGAGAATTATCTATAAATAAAACAGCCCATTTGAATACTTAGAATTTATGATAAATAACTTATTTTTAGAAACACCTGCTTTTAGTACATTTAACTAAGAATATCTCAAAAGAAAAGATTACACAAAAATTAAACTGAGATAGTTATTTACTTAACAAGTAACTTCCATTACTTGTGGAATCTACTTTTTATGCCAGATATGTAGAAATTATCTGCTTTTTTATTTTAGCTTGTGTTTCCAAATTCATAGTGCACTGTAGTCATATCTAATATGCCTTTGCTATTTGTGTGTTTCTGTTCAGCTCTTGTTTTAGAAATCCAAAGTGACATTGTGTCTGGAGCCAAGCTTGCTGTGCATAAACCTGTAGCAATTTTTGGAGAAGAAAAACAAATGATAGAAACAGAGGAAGAACAAAGGCAAAAAGATGCTCTAGCTACAGATAATTCTTCCAGTGAAATCTTGTAAGTAATCACTATGGTCAGAAAAGTTAACTGATTATTATTTGAACTCTGCTCATTAGCTCCATGACAGCACACAGCCCATGCAGGGAACCCATGCCAAGTTTGTGAAACTGATGTCATCTGAAGAGCTAACATTTAATTAGTTTGCTGGCAAAAGGATGGAGTTGGAGCTTCATGTTCAGCCATCACCATCATTTACTTTCAGTGATTATATTGTAATGTTACTATTTTTAAAATATGAAAATTTTAGAATTGCAGATATTTATTTCAGAATTTAATCATACTTTGTTTCCATGAAGTGGATTTCTGGAACAATTAAACTTTTTCCTTAATGTTATTTCAAGTTGGATGCATGTTAATGTGCTGTTATCAGCCAGGATCACTAAAATAGCTTTTCATGGGTTTCTCTATCTTTGTCCAATTCAGGTTGAAGTTCTATCTATGGACGATTATTTCCACAATCAGTTCCATACAATTTGTCAATGGCTTCTTATTGCCAACAACAGAAAAAATTAGTTTGGAATCCCAAGTCCTTCTGACTGGCCCTGGTCAAGGACTGTCATTGACCCGTATCATTACCCCTGTGTTTGTCCCACACTTATTTTCCCTGCCACATGTCTGCCAAGCTCCAGTTTGGCAGCTACAAAGTATGCGCCAAAGCTGGCATAGGTGCGCTATTGCAGGCCTCTGAGGCACAAGTTTCTGCCTTGCCTCCTAAAGCATCTTGGCTGACCTCTACTCATCTATGGGATGATTTTTCATAATCTTTTTTTAATGAAGGTATTGTTAGATTATGACTTCGTATAAGTGGCAGGTGGGCAGCCTTCACGTCAACATCTGAGTGTGATGCATTAAGTCTAATTTCATGGAGTGACCACCACCTCCAGCCCTGCCCTCTGGTGACCACTCTCCTATGTCACAATCTAAAAGTTTGTTTTTGTTATATTGTGTTTGTTTGCTTGCTTTGTTTCATTATCTTCTATATGTGAATGAAATCATATGATATTTGTATTATTTCATCTGACTTATTTCCCTTACTGTGATACCTTCAAGGTCCATTCATGTTGTTGCAAATGACAAACTTTCATCTTTTCACAATAACTCAGTAGTGGCATTCCATTGTATATTTATACCACATCTTTATGCTCTTGTCCATTAATGTTCTGCCCACTTTTTTTTAATTGGGTGATTTTGTGTGTGTGTGTGTGTGTGATTAAGGTGATTGAGTTACTTGTTTATATACTTTCAATATTAGCCCTTTGTCAGATTTGCAAATATCTTCTCCATAAATATGTTGCCTTTTCATTTTGACAATGGTTTGATTCACTATGCATAAGTTTTTAATTTGATGCAGTCTCATTTATTTATGTTTGCTTTGGTTTCTTCTGTGGTTGAAGTGAAGGCCCTTAAACATATCTCTCGACCAATACCTTGAGGTTGATTGTCTGTTTTCTGGTGTTTGTTTCATGGTTTCAAATCTAATGTTCAAGTCTTTAACCCATTTTGAATTAATTTTCATATATAACCTGAGAGAGTAGTCTAATTTTATTCTATTGTACTTGACTGTCCAGTGTCCATTTATTGAAGACTTTCCTTACTCTATCATATGTTATTTGTTATTTATCCTGTAGCTTTATATAGCTTTAGCTTCTCAGTGCAGTGCTTTAACCCGCTGCGCCACCAGGGAGGGCCAGTAGCTTTATATAGCATATAGCTATATATGTGATATATGTTTATGATATTTATGTATGATATATATATATATCATATATGGCTATATATATCATATATGGCTGTATATAATATATATAGTCATATATGATATACATATATATAGCTATATATGTAGAGTGAGAGCTATATATATATATATATATGTGCACACACACATGTGTAGATTAATTTCTGAACTCTAAGTTCCACTGATCTGCATGTCTCTTTCTATTCTAATACTATACTGCTTTTAATTTAATTTGTAACATATACCTTTGAAACCAGGGTGTGTAATACTGCAACATTTTTTGTTCTTTTATTCTTAGGATTGTTTTTGTTATTAGAGGTGTTTTATCATTTCTGACAAGTTTTTGTATTTTTTGTTTCAATTCTGTGAAGAATGCCATTTGAATATATTGCTTTAGGTTAAATGTCACTATAACATTGCTAACTCTAACAATCCATGAGCTTGGAATGTCTTTCCATTTCTTCATATCTTTGGTTTTTTTGGACACTATCATAGAGTTTTCAGTGTATAAGCATTTCACCTCCTTGGTTAAGTTTATTCCTATATAGTTTATTATTTCTGATGTAATTGTAAATTACATTTTTCTTAATCTCTGGTAGTTCAGTGTTTGTATAGAGAAACACAATAACAGATTTCATATTGATTTTGTAATTTGTAATTTTGCTTATTGTTTCTAACAAGATTTTTTTTTAAAGATTTATTTATTTGTGCATACAGAACTGGGGTACAGGCCAGAGGCTCAGAGGTGGCAAGCGGCTTCACCAGAGACAGAGTGGGGAGCAGAACAGGCAGATCTATGAATTACACTGCTGAGGGGAGCAGCGGGCGGGTCAGGAGAGGTCTGTCATGCCATGTGGTCACCTCCCGGGCAGGTGGGAATCGAACTCATGTGGAAGTGGCTTTAGCTTCTCAATGCTGTGCTTTAACCTGCTGTGCCACCAGGGAGGGCCTCTAACAAGATTTTTAGCGGAATCTTATCTTACAAGGTTTTCTATTTATAAGCTCATGTCATTCACAATCATGACAGTTTTACTTCTTCCTTTCCAATTTGGATGTGATTTATTTATTTGGAATTACTTTGACTAGGACTTGAATAATATTGATGAATGTAGGCATTCTTGTCTTGCTCCTGATTTTACAAAAAGAACTGACAGTTTTCATCATTGAGTATGAAGTTAGATGACTATGGACTTTTAATATTTGAAATAAATCAAGGCACTGATCATATGTACACCCTGACAACCTATGCAACCCCTAATAACTAACAACTTGGGAATCCCTTGAGGTGCAAATTCTGCTCTGTAAAAAAGCAAGATAATTGACTTTAATCATCAGTTACTAAGTAAACAAAGGAATTACTTTCCAAATTATAAAACAAAGAATAGCTGGTCAATTGCTATTGCAATAATTGTGAAAATAAACTTACATATTATTTTTATAAACTTTTACAAGACTTTGAATTTGGAAATCAAACATCCTCATTTTGATGGGTGGTACATCTGACCTTATACCATCATTCCCAAAGATATCAGAAAGCATTTTTTTTTTTAGAGAAAATTGTTTGACCTATATTGTATCTTCTTGAATGATTAGGGAAATGACCACACATGTTTCTTACAAGTGTGGTCATACATCATCTAACCTCTGAGTTATTAGGTTACACTTGGGCTAAAAAAAAAAAAAGAAAGAGAACATCTTCAAGATCAAAGTCCTACTTCTGATTCATAAATATCCTCAATGTCTGGGGTCCTTATGATTGAGTGATTGAGTCCACTCAGAATATAATGTAGCAATTTCCATCACATACTGGGCAGACCCTTTTCATCCAGTCTCTTCTTGACTATTCCCAGCAACAGGGAAATCACTGTTTCATAAGATAACCCATTCTAAGGTTAAACTTAGACTTCTTCATTCTATACTTCCATCTGTTTTGTGTACCATGTCTTATTTCTCTTCTACTTAAAGTCTAAATTACTCAAAGATCATCATGAGCCCCCTAAGCTCTCTAGACTATCTTTTACTCATATACCTGTCCTAATCCTCTGTTCTCTTCCTCAAGTAGGTTAAACATATTCTTGCTTCATAAACTTTGCATTTTGTTCTTTTCTCTACTTGGATTGCTCTCTTTCCAGACCCTCTCATGGCTACCTCCTTTCCTTTTTCTAGGTTGCAACCCAAACATTATCTCTCAGAAATATCTTTTCTGACTACATCATTAAAATAGATCCCTCCACATCCCAGTCCATTTCTATCACAATGCCCTATTTTATTCCATGGTGACACTTTTCTTGTTCTTTTATTAATGTACTCTTCTGTTATTTCTTTTCTTCCCACTAGAATGTAAACTCTGTGAACCCTGGAAATTCATACTTTATCACTGTCCTCTTAACACTTATAACTTTTCCACCAAAGAATAAATGACTAGCCAGTAAAGAGAAGTATTGATATTGTGAATGAGAGAATGGACAAATGAATGAATGAATAAGGCAAGATGAATTTTAAAATGACTTCAGAAATTGTGTGTCATTTGCCTGGAAACCCAAAAGCATCTAGATAATTAGAAAAGTTAAACATTTGGATTTGGAATAAAATTCTTGTTTGCGTTTTTTTATTTTGGAAATTTTTTATCTGGATTTACCTTAAAAATAAGGAATGGATATACCACATGCCCCAGCAATCCTATTCTCAGACACTGATCCAAAGATGAAACCATCAGTTCAAGAAAGTATAGGCTCTACAATGTTTATGGAAGCCTTATTTACTAGAACATGCAAAGAACCTAAGCATTGACCAAGAAATGGATTAAGAAGATGTATATACACATAATAAAATATTCACCCATCAGGAAAGACAAATATTACCATTTATAGTAAAGCAAAAGGAGCTTGATGGAATTAAGTGTAGTAAAGCAAGTTAGAATGACAAAAACAAAGAATGGATGTTTACCTAGCAGAAGATTCAGCAAAACAAAATACTTAAAATAAATCTAACAGACATTAGTAAATGAGGTGAGACTTCTCAGGTTAAGATGGGGCAAGGTGATGCGAGAAAGGGTCAAAGGGATAAAGGATAGTGGCATGAAAAAAAAAAAACAAGCGATATAGATTAGCTGATTTTGTACTTTCAAAAAAAAGCCATTATTTCTTTTATAAAGCTAGTGACCCAATGTCAAAATAATAAAAAAAAATCTTGATTTATACTTTTCTAAATATTGTAAAACTAAGAAAGAAACGGTTGTTGGAAAAGCTGTGTTTTTTATTTTCATCACAAGATGGCACTGTCGTCTTTTAACTGTTGCTGAGATTTTTGATTTCAGTCCCTTGTGCTTCAATTCTGAATGAATCACTTGTTATCCACCAATTTTGTGTCCACATCTACTTTTGTTACATTTTAAAGTGTATGAAACATAGAAATGATCCCTGAAGATTTTGCTAATTTGATATTGCTTATGGTTACATCAAATTATCATCAGTATCTTGGAGTTTATAGCTTTCCCCAGAGAAAGCTATATGTTTACACATATGCATATTTAGAGAACTGAAATGTGCTTCCTGCATTACCTATGTATTACCCTGCCATTAACAGAGTAGTTTTCCTGTTGTGCCAGGACCCCATGGAAGGCAGATATGTGCTAAATAGTGGACCAAACTTCACCTTTACAGACGTGTATGGTAGCTACACTCCTGTTCACATCATTGCCTTAAGTCAGAAGACTAACTTAGTATTTAAATGATGCCTTTTTCCTTTAAGTGTGTATTCTCTATCAAAACTGACATGTATGTGTGAATGCTGTTTGAGTCTCTAATGAGGAGAAAATTTAAGATTTTTTTTATATTGTCTAATGAATAAATTCAGTAAACTAGGCTGTGGAGACTGTTTCAGACAGAATTCTGACCCACTATGGAACAGGCAGAAGGTGTCTCATTAAATGTCCATGATGAGTTTCTTAAATGATTGAGTAGGTATAATCTTAGAATTTTTAAAAATATAATGGAGTGAATATAACAAAAATGTTTATTATCTGGTTGAAGAGTTTTATTTGTAGCCTTATGTTAAAAGATATAAATTATGTGTCAGTAGTAAATGGATTTGCAATGTTAGATACCATGATAGAAATATGATTTACAGATTCACCATTATCCTTCAGGATATGATCACACTACACCTCAGAGAAAACTCTTAAGTCGAAATCAGATTTCTTAAACTTGTGTTTGCTTCTGAACTTTGACAGAGATTCACATGCAAGAGCCCATTTTCGAATGAAGGCTTGTCACACACTTCTCAGGTATGCCTGGCAGAAAGCTTCTCATGACTTTGATGAGGATGACAGCCCTCCAGAGCAAACAGAAGAAGAGTTCTTTGAACTTGTGGAAGCACCAAAGGAATACAGGTAAAAAGTTACAAGGGATTTTTGTTATCATTTTTTTTTGGTCTGGTGTTAGATTTATTCACTTTGGGGCAAAGGTGCTCCTGAGGGTTTGCATTACTACCAGCTGCTAATTACACTAACATCCACTTATTAATTAATTAATTTATTTATTTGGTCATTTTGTTTTTGGAAGCATATTTCAAGTACTGGTGGGAAGGTTCTTTTCCATTAGTTCATTTTGTGCTGTTTTATGTAATTTCTTGGTCACTGGTGTGTCTTTCTTATGAAAACTCTTTTAAGTTCATCCAGCTTTGCCTCCTGAGAATTTAGTGCAGTGCCTATGTATTGAATGACTACATGAATGAATGAGAACATAAGATGCCCTCATATCTTTAGGAAATTAGCAAACTATAACTTCTTCCTTTCTCATCTTAATTTTTTTCTGGTTATTGTCTAATGAAATTACAGTAATGCATACTACTTTGTCTTATTCTTTTTCTTTAGATGTTTGCTTAACATTACAGCATGTTATATAAATTAAGCAGTTTTAGCATTTTGGTATATAACATGAATTCGTACATATAGTAGGGTCTTAATTGATGTTTATATGTTAATTTAATTGTTAATGAAGTGATATTTAATATGTTTAAGTTTGCTTAGTACTTTAAATTCTTTAAGACATTTCTTTAACTTCATAGTGTAACTTGATTTTCTTATATGATACTGTATACATTTTTAGGGGGGAAAGTTGTACAACTTGGAAAATAGCATTCTACCTGCCAGGCATACTGTACATAGAGAATAGACACAATCAGGATGTGAACAGAACTCCTGTTTCTCTAATTTGATTTTACATGCCCTTATTCCTCTTACCTCCTCCTGTTGAATTTCTCCTCATATTTTTAGCATATCTTTTGCCTCTTTAGCTAAATTTCTTTACTTTCTGCTATGAATTTCCATAGTCTCTTAGTTTGGTTTTTATGTGCTACAAAATAACTCAAAATTTTACTTTTCCATCAGCTTTCTTGTGCAAGGTAAACACCAATACTGCTGTCTTGATGATAATGCCTCACCATTAGAAGTGAAGTTGGATCAGGGCAAGTCACCACAGAACTTGCCATCTCTATCATGTCAAGTGCATGGAACATTAGCTGCAGTTAATGGGGTTTTCTTTTCCTCAGCCATTCACCAAAGCAGAGTAAATTACAGAAGCTTTGCTGCCAGCAGTTTGAATACAGAGATGGACAAATTATAAGCCACGTTGTTCCTCAACTAGTCTTGGGGGTAGAAGGTCCCAATCTGCGTCCAGGCATGGAAGTGATTTTGGTGGAGAAGAAAGCTGGTAATAGTCATCAACACTGGATACACAAGAAAGGTAGCAGGTAAGCCCATTAAACTAGAGGTGGAGGTGGGGGAGTTCCTATATCAAACAGTGTGTAGGAGCTGAAGGATTCTGTCATAGTTCCCATAACAAAGGTAGGGGGGTACTTGAGGGCTTTGGATTTTCTATTTAACTTAACCGATAATTTTTTATTCTAACTAGGCAAAGTAAGAAAGTAAAAACAAATATAAACCTCCATAACCTTACCCTTGTAAGGGTAAAATAAAGATAACCTTATCCAGATAATACAACTTACCCACTAGTGGACAAGACACATTCAGTTTTACCTCGTTTTTGCCATTGAGGTGAAGAGTAAATTGGGCTTTCACCTAACTTTATTTTCTGATTTAAAGAGATCAAATAAAGAATTCTAAACAGTCCCCGTTTGAAGTGTTCCTAGTAATTCTTAATCAACTCAGTCTTCTGGCCCTCCTACTTCCATCAAATAGCTGAGACAGCTTCTACCCACACAGGAAAATGAATTGTTACTTAACAAATAAGTGTACCCAATTCAATTACTGGCCCTTCTTGGATTCAGTTTCAGGTCAGCCACTGTAAAAAGTTATTTTGGGGCCCTCCCTAGTGGCGCAGCGGGTTGAAGCACAATACAAAGAAGCTTAAGCCACTTCCACATGAGTTCGATCCCCGCCTGTCCCAGAGGAGATCCACATGGCGAGGCAGACCTCTCCTGACCCGCCCGCTGCTCCCCTCAGCAGTGTACTTCGTCGCTCTTCCTGTTCTGCTCCCTGCTCTGTCTCTGGTGAATCCTCTTACCCTCTGCATCTCTGGCCTGTACCCCAGTTCTGTGCGAATAAAAAAAAAGTTATTTTGGGAAAAAAAATCACAAGACATTTAAAACATTTTGGGTGCCTGATGATATTAAGAAAGTGTGGTTAATTTTGTTGAGTGTAGCAGTGGCTAGGCAGTGTTTAATAGTTAATGTTCAGAAAAAGAAAAGTCCAGATCCCTATGGATATATAGTGTGATATTTGTAAATGAACTTAAAAGAACTAAAATTTGTTTTAAAATACTCTAACAAAAGCAAAATTTAAGATGTTGGGGGTGTGGACCAAACAAGAATGATAGAATGTTTATATGGGCTAGGTTGGTAATAGTTTCTGTTCTTGTACCTGTTTGAACTTTTTTTTTTTTTTTTTAAGAAGAAAGAAAACAACTTGTTTTTTAGAGTTGTTGTATCAATTCTACTGTTAGTGTTATATGGGAGGGCTTCAGGGGGCTTCTTTATTCTCTTGAACTACCATAAAAAATGTATTTCATGTTTGTATATTTTTTTTGGCAAAGAAGTCTGTTTTTTCATTGAATTTCTAAAAGTAGGTAATGCACCAAGCTTAGGATTTGCAACTTTGAGAGAAATTGCAGGCGCTTCAGCAGGCGGCAGCAGAGAACCCAGCATGAGTAGAAGAGAAACTATCCTGCTAGGCTGTTTGAGGAGAGCAGAAACACCAGTCATGCACACTTTTTGCGCTTTTTTAAAAACACTGAAAAGCTTACCTATAGGCAGACCTGCTGAGGGCCTTCATGACATCCATCTGGCTAAGTTATCTTCACTACGTGAGCAAGAAGACAGACTTTTATCCCTGCAAATGGCTTGCAGAATTTGCTAGAATTTGATTATTTGAGGGCTAGTAAGTTTTAGGTGTTAGTCCTTTTCCCTGAAACAAAACAGATTTAAAAAATAATAGCAAAACCTGCCCATACAGTATGTAAAAAATTCCATTTTACATTCCTAAAATTTAGCAATACATTTCACTGTCTTGACTTTCTGTTCTATGTAAGTTGTAATTGAGCATGAGTTGGAATTTGCATGAATTGAGCTGTAAATGGCACAAGCAGGGGGGTGTAGAGAGGGGTGAGAGAATGTATTTATCTGAATACAGAAGAAAGCCAAATATGATGAGTTTGACTCAGGAATATTTGGTCATTGGAAGAGAGGGCTAGTTCTGAATCCTGCTCAGTATCTGTCACTGGTTTTGTTTTGCATCTTAAGTGTTCTAGAGAAAGCAGAAAGGGAAAGAAATACTGTTTAAATAAAGCAGAAAGACATGTTTACCTAAAACTCTGTGAAATGTTGGGTCACAATCAGCACTGCTATGGAAAATTGAACCACATGAGACACATGTACAGTCTTTCCACTTTACAGAACTTTCTGCAACTTTGTCTTTGTTCTTAAGATTTTACCATGTGAAACCACAAAGGAGAGGACCATTTGGTAGGAGATGGTGATAGTAATTGATTCCCGCCAGAAATCTCACAGTCTTGACAGAAATGAGTAGTGAGGCCAGTGGGTGAGATTGAGGGTAGAATTGCTCTTTAGCATCTGGGTCACCCTCTAAGGACTCCCAGAATGTCAGGAAAGGTTTTGTAGAACTCTGACGGTTAGATACAGGTGCAATTCAGAGAAATATTTGTCAGTGGTAGTTGTATGTCTGCATAGTGACAGTACTTCTGAGTTTTCCTCCACATTTCACCATGGCATTTTTGCTTTGTCTCACTTGTTATGATAATCTGGTAAAGGTTAGAGGAATCATAGGCTGCCTATGTAACATAAACCTGTAGAAAATTCTGTTTGTATGAACCATAGTCTTTTATCCTCCATATTTCACACAGGCAGTAGGTTTGCATTTAGAGACAATTGCCCACCAAGAATTGTTGAAGTATAGGCAGGGTAGCTCACTGCCAACAGAATAGGAGGTAGATTCTCAAGTAACTGTCACTGTGCTCAAATTTTTCTATTAACCTTTTCACTCTGTTCTTTGCATTTTGAATTACTTTCTTTACTTTGACCTTTGTAAAAATGGAAAGTAACTAGAAAATTTTATATTTTAGACAATTATTAGTTAAACCTCATAAAGGAAATTATGACTATGAATATAAGACCTTGCTGAAATAACACATAGTCTAGGCTGGAAATGTAAAAAGGAGCTAGTAGACACTGAAAGGTAGTAGGATATTGTTGAAGACATATTCAATTGATTTCTAGCCAGATCAACTTCTGGTATATTTTGGCATCTCTTCCCATTTTCAGCTCATGCACAGTCTGAATTAGTCATTTGGTCTCCAAAGGGAAATATGTAATAAAAAGAAATAAAAGGTATCCAGATTGAAAAGGGAGAAATAAAGTTGCCTCTATATGCAAATAACATGATATTGTGTCCAGAAAACCCTAACACTCCACCAAAAACCTGTTAGAAATAATAAAGGAATACAGTAAAGTTTCAAGTTACACAATCAACGTGCAAAAATCTGTTGCATTTCTATATGCAAACAATAAACTAGCATAAAAGAAATGATGAAAACAATACTATTTATAGTCATAGCAAAAACAAAATGCCTGGAAACAAATTTAACCTGTATATTGAAAAACATTGTTGAAAGAATTTGAAGAAATCCAAAGAAATGGAAAGGCATTCTGTGCTCAGGGTTTAGAACGATTAATATTGTGAATGGCCACTTTATATAAAGCAAGATACAGATTTAGTGTAATTCCTACTAAAATACCAGTGGCATTCTTCACAGAAAAAGAATAAAAGATACTAAAATTTATATGGAGCCACAAAAGATGCTGCATTACTAATACAATGCTGAAAGAAAAAAAAGAAAGAAAGAAGAAATGTTGTGGTATCATGCTCCCTGTTTTCAGACTATAATGTAAAACTACAGTAGTTAAAACTAGTATTTTAATAAGTAGAGGCATGCAGATCAATGGAATGAAATTGAAGGTTCAGAAATAAAACCATACTCTTACAGGCAACTGATTTATGACAAAGGAACTGTGAGAATACAATGGGTAGAAGAAGGTCTCTTCAATATATGTTGCTAGGAAAACCAGATGAAAAAATGAAATTAGAACACTGTCTTATACCAAATACAGAAATCAATTCAAAATGGATCAAAACCAAAAAAGATCTGAAACCATAAAATCCATTCAAGAAAACAGGTATTAATCTCCTTGTTTTTGTCTTAGTATAGTGATGTCCTTTGAATTCATTCCAGATAGCAAGAAAAACACAAGTTACTATGGAAAACTAAAAATCTTCAGCACACAGAAAGAAACAACTGATAAAATGAAAAGACAATATATTGATGGGAGAAGACATTTGTAAATCATGCATCAAGACAAGGCATTAATATCCAAAATGTGAAAATAATTCATACACCTTAATAAATACAATCTGATTGAAAAATAGAGGATCTAAATAGGCATTTCACCAAAGGTATACAGATGACCAACAGACATGTGACAGGATGGTCTACACTGCATATTATTAGGGAAATGCAAATCAAAACCATAATGATATTTTAACTCATACCATTTAAATGCAGATTATCAAAAAGTTAAGAATAAGTGTTGGCAAGGGGAGAAAAAAGGAAACTTCATACACTGTTGGTAGAAATGTAAATTTATGTAGCCATGATGGTAATCAGTTTGAAGGGCCCTCAAAACAATGAAAAGAGAACTACCATATGATCCTGTAATCCAGTTTCTGGGTATATGCCCAAAGAATTTGAATGAACTAATTCAGAAATATTGATGCATCCGTATATTCATTGTAACATTATTCATAATAGCTGAGGTATGAAAACAACCCAAATGCCTGATGACAGATGAATGAATGTAGCTTATATACACAATGGCATAGTACTTAGCCTTTGAAAAAGATGAAACTTTGCCATTTTCAACAACGTGGTTGAACTTTGAGGGGATCATGCTAACTGAAATAAGGGAGAAAGACAATGCCATACGATTTAAATCATTTGTGGACTGTAAAGAAAACAAACAAGCAAAACAAAGAAAAGTCCTTAGACTGAAATATAATTGTGGTTTCCAAAAGGGAATAGGGGGAAGGGCATGAATAGAAGTAACTAGTTGGTTGGCAGTGGATAGTAACTAGGTATTTGGTGCTTGGGTATGGTGTGTTATATACATTTGCTGAAGTGAGGAACTGTTTACCCAAAACCTATATCATGTTAAAAATTAATGTTACTGCAATAAAGTGAATGAAGGAATGAGTAAATAGATGAAGAGAGATATGAAAAATTCCTTGGAGATTAAAAATATATATATATATATTCTGAAAAATTCCAACTTAAGGAAATCAGTGTGTCATGGAATGTTGAAGGAGATCTTAAAAGACTTCTTGAGAGGGCCCTCCCTGGTGGCACAGCGGGTTAAAGAACAGCACTGAGAAGCTAAAGCCACTTCCTCATGAGTTTGATTCCCGGCCTGCCCCGGAGGTGACCACATGTCGCGGCAGACCTCTCCTGACCCGCCCGCTGCTCCCCTCAGCAGTGTACTTCCTCCATCTGCCTGTTCTGTTCCCCACCCTGTCTCTGGTGAAGCCTCTCACCGCCCCCGAGCCTCTGCCTGTACCCCAGTTCTGTATGCGCAAATAAAAAAAAAAAGTCTTCTTGAGAACAAAAACTTGAATATAATAACGAGTCAGACAGATTCAGGGGAGTAAATGACTTGTGCGTGTTCATGCTGCTGTCAGTGAAAGAGGCAGTGCGATTGTGCCCGGATATTGCTGGGACACACCCTGCTATCGGCACATGGGATTTATGTAGTAACCTATAAGATCAGGTTCTTGCAGAATGTAAGCTCTCCTCCTCTGGGAAAGTGTCAGTCAACTGCACTATTCAAAAAGGAAAAGAAAAATCAACACTCTATAGTTGAGGATAGTGCTAAAGGATGGGAGAAGTTGCTGCATTTCTTCTAGGTTGCAAAAACATAACGACAGCTAGGTAAGTAATTTTGTCACCTCAGTAGGTCATTGCAGGAAATATACAGTCATCCATTCATTTGCATAATATTGAATGCCACTAAAAATGCAGGATGCAAACTCTGCAACATGCTGGGACTGCCAGAGATGGACCATATAGAACAGAACGTCAGGGTACAGCCTTGATACATGCTAGAAAAGTGTTTCATAAAATCAAACACCCATTTGATTTTAAAATGATACTTCATTTAACTAACAATAGAAGGAAAAATACTTTGTAAAAGAGTAGTGATTCTGTATTCTGCTAAAATTTGTATATTTTTTCCCAGGGTTTTGTAAACTCATTACAAAGAAGATATGTTGGTTTATGTTCCCAAATTTAAATTAAATATCTGGAATTTTTTAAATCTTGAAAAGGAAGAAAAAATATATTGCTTTTATAACATTTCCTTTTACTGCCCCTTCTACAGTATTAAATATCCTATTTTCCACAGCAGGAATGCCTCTGCTGGTTGTCATATAACTATTCTGAAAGATGTAAAGACCTGATTTTTTTTTCTATACAGACAAGAGCATTGAATATCTGGCTTATTGTTGCTTTTAAGTGATGTAAGGAGTATAATTTGCTTTTAGGCCCAAAGGCTTTATGATAACCCAAATTTAAGAACACTTAAGAATATTCAAAAAAATATATTGAACTTCTAGAGAAAACACCTTTAGAAAAAAAACTACTTTAGGGAAAGCTATTTAAAAATTACAGGGCGATGCAATGGGTTAAAGTGCAGCTTTGAAGTGGTAAATCCTCTCACCGCCCCTGCACCTCTGGCCTGGACCTCTGCTCTGTTTACATAAGTAAAATAAATATTTTTTTAAAAAATAGCAAAGGCATTTTAAATAAATAAATAAAAATTCAACCATAAATAATAGTACCTAATGTTATGTATTAGACAGTACTCTATGCATTAGCTCATTTAATTTTCACAGTAGTCTTAGGAGGTATGTAGATTGTCCTACTTTGAATGGTGAGGAAACTGAGCCACAGAGTTCTTAAGCAAAACCATATACCTACTGGGGGTGGTGTGGTCTCAGGCTTCAAGAGATTTAAGCACTTATGTTCTTAATTCTGCCAAATGCTTCTTCTTAATAGTAAAGCCAATGAGAAGTCTGTCTGTGTGAGTCCAATTTGGAGATAGAAACCATAGCGTGATTTTAAACAGGGAATATTTAACACCAAAAAAATCATTAAACTTTGATAAAAGAGTAACTATCAGATATTGAAAAAAGAAAAGTGCCGCTGTGTGGTACTGTAGGACTAAAGGAGAGTCCACAAGGAAGGAAAAGCCTGCAATTGGACCTTTAAGATCTGTTTGTAGCCCACTGGGTGGTGGAGAAATGTGTGCTGCTTTGCTGGCCAGACCTGACCCATGGTTGCTAGACAATCATGAAACCACTCCCTGGAATGTATATGGGGGTGCAGCTGATTGCTGGCCACACACCATGCAGAGAATGGGTGTGCTACTGTGGTGGAAGGTATGGAACATGTGGAAGACATTGGCAAGACCACAAGTAAAGGACTACCAGGCCAGACCAGTACTATGAGCGTGCTGAGGGACTATCCTGTCAGGGCACTGAACCCAGGCAGCAGCAGCTGGAAAGAGCAGGAGAGCCCCTTCCTCCTTCAGTATGCTTCTAGAGCACTTTTCCTGTGCTGAACATGGTGCTTCCTCTAGGGAGAAAGTTTTTTTTTTGTTTGTTTGTTTTTAAGATTTATTTATTCATATAGAACTCGGGTACAGGCCAGAGATGCGGAGGGTGAGAGGATTCACCAGAGACAGAGTGGGGAGCAGAACAAGCAGACCGACTAAGTACACTGCTGAGGGGAGCAGCAGGCGGGTCAGGAGAGGTCTGCTGCGGATGTGGATCTGCTCCGGGGCAGGCAGGGATAGAACTCATGTGGAAGTGGCTTTAACTTCTTAGTGCTGTGCTTTAACCTGCTGCCCCACCAGGGAGGGCCCTAGGGAGAAAGTTTTAAAGGCTCACTTGTATTATCACATATATGGTTGGAGTTGAGGACAGTACAATGATAAATGGGACAGTGCTCCTTTATAATGTGTCCAATCCTGTTTTTTCTAAGGACATTTCATCTGGTGAGTAACCCAGACCTGGTGCTGGCAGTGTCTCTGACCAAGGGTAGAGATGAAGATGGTGGTTATCCAGTTATTGTTCAGGTAAGATGTGTACAGGCTAAACCATAATCATGGTCCCTTACTGAATTATATTTTAGTAATGTCTCTTGCTTTCTTGTTCTGGAGAAAGTAAACTGATGTCAGAATTCTGTCTTGAAGACCCTGTTAAAAGGTTGACAGTAGTCTGAAATCTAGTAGTCTAGATTTCAAGTTGCATTTGTTCATGTAGCTCTTGATTTAGTTTCATCAACAGATGGTGATTGTGGGCTTGCTGCACGTCAGAAGCTATGCTCATTACTAAATCTGATCCTGTGGCAAGCCTGAGAAATTAGCATTGTAGCATTCATGGAGTGTACAATGTCAGTGGTGTTTAGGTATATATGCTCTGAGTTCATTGTTGGGGATCATGTTCAAGCCCCCACTTACCTGACAATTGAAGGGGAGAACGTGATCAGAAGTCTTTGAGAATGTGAGCACGTTATTACTAATTATGCATTGAGACTCATTTGAATTACGTTTTGAACACATTTTGCAAATGCTTTAGCACTCCAAAACAATTTTTGTAGACTCCAGAGATGTCTTCATTTGACTTTTGACCAAAGACATTGGAAATTCTTTTTTCATGTTTGTCTGTCATCAGTTACTTGTAACCAAAGATTATCCTAGACACATTTGTGTTTCTTCTTGGTAGGCAGAGAGAAAGTTCAAGAGAGTCCCATTTACTTTCTGCATTAACTTTCTGTATCTTCCAAAGAACTTACCACTGCATTTTCGAGCAGAATATATTGTCCCCAATTAACATTTGTTTTATTTCATGTTTTGAACAGCAATGAAACAACTTGTTTTGCTGTTCCCAGATCCAAAATTGGGATATAAGCAATATGGACAAATATCAGAGCTTAATTAACTCTTCCATACTGATGATAAATATGGACTAAAATTTTACTGTAGGAGGCACAGTTTTATAGCATCTCATTCTTCCCTATCAGGTGTGTCTTTGGCACACAGCATGGTGAGGTAATACCTCTTCCACATGCAAATTTAGTACCTTAATCAGTTTCATAAAGTTATGGATAGGGATATTTTTCCCCTTAAGGTTTCCATTTTATAAGAAACGAGTTTGCTCTCAAATGAGTTTGTATTACCTTTCAAAAATTTTTCTTTGTTGATGTTTCATTTTTATCTCCTGAAGCAATCAATTTTTGATTAAAGTTCACTTAACAATAATAAAAATGGGGTCCTCCCTGATGGTTTAGCAGGTTAAAGCACAGCACTGAGAAGCTAAAGCCACTGCAGCATGAGTTTGATTCCAAGCCCTGGAAGTGACCCCCATGGCATGGCAGACCTCTTCTGACCTGCCCTCTGCTCCCCTCAGCAGTGTACTTGATCAATCAGCCTGTTCTGCTCCCCACTGACACTGGTGAATTCTCTCAACCGCCCCTGCATCTCTGGCCTGTACCCCAGTTCTGTATGCATAAATAAATAATTTAAAAAATAATAATAATACTAACAATGAGGCAATTTAGGTTAATGCTATCATACCCCCTTCCTGTTCCTTAAAATATGGCCTTGGATTTTCCATGTCTCTGAGGGATGCTCCTTGCCTGACCTATTAAATCAGTTCTTAAGACTCATTTGTTTTGCTATTTACCATCAGTCTCTCCTTGGTAAAGTAAGTGTTATTCATTAGAGAGATCCATAAGGTAGCATGATGTGTTTGGTTGGAACTAATCTGCTGGTTAAATCTGTTACATTGAAACTACTCATTTGAGCCAAGTTTTATAATTAGAATAATTATGCTGCTTCTATCACATATAAGACTGGATATAATCACTTAAAAAATAACTTCCTCATGCTCAGTGACATGCAAATTTATCAAAAAGTACTGTTTTTCATTTATTAAATTATGATATTTTGTGAGGAAAATAGGTCACTTCACACACTATTGGCAGTGTAAACAAACTACCTTTTAAAAAAATACTGTGATATAGTAAGACTATAATGTTATAATAGAATAACTATTTTATTAATAAGTATACTTTAGAAGTTTGTTCAAAGATCTGCCATAGACTTACACAAAAATGTGTTTTTATGATTGTTCACTGCGCTTTGTTATAACAAAAAAAATTCAGTAATAATTTATAGAATTATCTGTTGGGGATTGGTAAAATAAAATATCCTTAAAATCAAATAGTATACATGTTTTAAAAATGATGTGTATTTTGTGAGTCCATTTTTCTAACTCAAGGAATGATATTTATAAATATAAAAATATTATGTATATTATCACCAAATAAAAATACTTATAACTAATTAGAATTATGAGCAATTATATACTCTAGGTTGGTGCTATGAAAACTGACTGCTAATTCATAAACTTACCTGTTTATTTCATTCCATATTTTATCTTCTTTTCCCCTAGAAATATAAACCACATAACAATGGGACTTCCAATCAGAAGTGGCGTTACATAGAAAATATGAAAACTTTTATGGCCTTTCATAGCACTACACTAGATAAGGAAATCACAGCAGCTAATTATGCCGGTATTTGTACATCTTCTGTGATTAAAGAAGAAAACATTGATCAACCAGTAAGTGGTTCCTTTCTTTTGAGGATAAAGGGGAAATAGAGAAAAGTGGGATAATTGAATAAACCAAGAAACTTTTTTCTTTTCTAGAAAACCTTATATTTGCACACATTGAACACTGATTTGTAAATGAAATCACTTAGGCAATGTGGTTCTGTTTAAGGAAGAATGAAAGAACTTTGGTATTTCCTTGTGATTACATTGTTTCACTGGCCCCCTATCACCAATACCACTTTTAGTTCATTATCAGTTTGCCATGCGTGAAAAAAGATAACACATACACAGTCCCCAGGTGAGCCTGCCACGCACAATGTCACTCCATTCCAGACAGTGTGTTAAAATGCAGGTGATTGTGACTTTAACTGCATTCTATTTTGCCTCGGTAAAGAAATACAATGTAAACAGAAGGATAAATAAAAGAAATTTTATAGAAGAATTATGAGTCCAATCAGTTGTTTGGTATTTTGTACAGAAGCACAAAGCTACATACAGAACTTTAAAATGGTTAGCATCCTGGAGGCATAGCTTAATTCTGGGAGGCCACTCAACTGTATCATATTTTTCTTTCCATTTGTAGTTTCAAAGTGACATTAAATATAAATGAATTAATTAAAACCCCAGTTTACATTGTGTACTTGCACCATGGCCAATTCAGGAATGACAACCATAAGAATTGATGTCTTAATGAATGAAAAATTTATTTTCTGAATCCTTTCAGTGGCTTCTTTAATAAGAAAAATCATTGGTGCCCAATTAGCATGAAACCCATGCTTTTCTATACACATAGTTCTGTATATAATATTCATTCAATTCCACCTGAGAGGGAGGCTTAATTTTCTGATTTACAGTAATTTGAAAAGAAGAAAGGCAAACAAATGTAAAGCTAGAGAATTCTATAGTGGAATTGAAGAATTTCATCTTCAACAGTATTGTCTAAATGCTGACTTTGCGTTGAGGTCACTCTATCTTTTTGTGAGGAATAGTTGAATTAATATGACAAAAGCAGAAAATCCAAGAACATGGAATCAGAAGTTTTTCTGTACTTCATTCCTGCCATATAAAACTTGGCTATCCTTGCTTAAAATTTACCCCTCTGAGTTTTTATTTACTCAACTGTAAATTGAGAATGAGGGTACCAGCTTTGGCTATACTTAACTTTCAGGCTGATGAAAAAGAAAATTCAGGAGTCTATATAAAAATTTAGTATGAAAAAGTTCCAACATATGCCAGAGTAAAAGGACAATACCATGAATTCTCATATACCTATCATTTGAGATTTTGCAGCACTGACAACCCAGATATTTCACCTCAAGCATGTACCCTTAAAAATGTAAATATTTTCTGCCCTCCCTGGTGGCGCAGCGGGTTAAAGCACAGCACTGAGAATCTAAAGCTGCTTCCGCATGAGTTCGATTCCCTCCTGCCCCGGAGGTGACCACATGGCGTGGCAGACCTCTCCTGACCCGCCCGCTGCTCCCCTCAGCAGTGTACTTCGTCGATCTGCCTGTTCTGCTCCCCACTCTGTCCCTGGTGAATCCTCTCACCCTCCGTGCCTCTGGCCTGTACCCCAGTTCTGTATGCACAAATAAGTAAATCTAAAAAAAGTAAATATTTTCTTAATATAATCATGACTTTACCATACCTATCAAAATGAAAAATAATTCTTTTGCCATCAAACGTCTTACTGTAATCAATTAAGAGTTCAGGTGATTACAAGCTAATCACACATTAACAAAAAAGTATTCCCAGTGACTTTCTACATGGTATCCTTTTGATCATCATTGCCTAGATCAATTCCATAAAGAGTATCAAAAAGTCAGTTTTGTCCAACTGTTGTCTCCGCATTTGTTAGCTGAGCTTTTAATATAAATATGATTTTACCTCAAGTATGCATATGACCAAAAATGTGGTTCATCAGTGGATAAGTACTTATTTTTTTCCCTATCACTGTATTCTGATCTAACAAAATACCTGAAAATGTAGTGACTTCAACCAGTAACCTTTTTTGCCCTATAGGTCAGCAGATCGGGCTAGCGGTTCTGCCACTCTCGACCAGGGTCGCTAATATGTTCATAGTTACCTGGTGATGTTCAGCGTTTGCCATTCCTCTTAAAAAGCCTGACTTTGGACACAAATTTTACTCACTGATGCTGAATTGCGACTGCCTCTAGATTTTTTCTGTCAACAAAATTTGGAAATTCATTGTTTTATGTAATTATTAACAAAACAGAATAATGCATTCATGTTGAGATTTCAAATTTAGCATTTGGGGACTACAGACGTGCTTTATCAATATTAGAAAGTGTTCTACAAATTGCTGCCACACTTTAGATTTGCCTATACCAAAAAAAAAAAAAATCATCTTTCTCATTTTTTCTAGGGATACTATTATCTCTCACCTGGAAAGAAAAAACTGATGTTCTGCTTGGCATGTGGACGATCCATGAGGGCAGAGAAGGGACTGAAACAGTTGCTGCCAGGTGTGCCTTTCCTGTGTGCTTCAGGCTCCAAGACCCTGAGACCCTCCTCACGAGGGCCTTTCAAGGTCATCAGTGTGGCTGAGGTATATAATGATCTGAGTTCTGCTAATACATGTGTGGCACCAGTTTGGAAACTTTGATGCATTAATTATCTGCTTGCACTCAAGTTCATCTCCATTCATCCAATTCATCTTCCTCTGATGTACCTTTACCATTCCACCTGCATTGATTTCCTTTTTCACATTGTAATTTAAAATACATTGTCTCTTAATAGTTCGATACACTCTTTGAAGTTAATTGGGCACTCTGCGGCTTTAATCATCTGCTGACACCTTCTACTTATTGCTCTCCATGTTGCTTTTAGATGGGGAAGTTACTAAGTAAGCCTTTACTTAGTGGAGCAGCATTTTTCCTCTACCTACAGCCTAACTAAAGTCTTTTTTAATAGTAGGGAACACTTCAGGGGTATCTGACAAGTTATTTAATGATTACTCAGGTCGGGTGCTTGAATTCACACATCCATGTCTGATACTATGTATAGTTTTAGGGAAGAAAAAAATCTCTACTCTTTCCTGTGATCTTAATCTAAAATGGCACCATTTAAAACATCCTTTCCTTCAGGCCCTCCCTGGTGGCATAGCAGCACTAAGGAGCTAAAGCCCCTTCAGCATGAGTTCAATCCTCACCCCAGAGGTGATCCCACATGGGCATGGCAGACCTCTCCTGACCTGCCCACTGCTCCCCTCAGCAGTGTACTTTTGTCAGTCTGCCTGTTCTGCTCCCAGTCTGTCTCTGGTGAAGCCTCTTACCACACCTACACCTCTGGCCTGTACCCCAGTTCAGTATGCATAAATAAATAAATCTTAAAAAAAAATCCTTTCCTTCAAGTTTAGAAGTGAGAAGAGCTAATGGGAAATTACACACTTACATAAAAAGAAATTATTCTAAAGATGTAGAGAACCTTTAGTCTTGGTATCTCAGGGTTTACCCACCCATTCCCCTCACCTGATATCCCTTAAGGGACTGAGGAATGTAGGATAGGTAATAACAGATTATAATAAACATCAAGTGAGGCAATAGCTGATGGAGAGAGAAAGCTAATTCTCTGGGAAAGACCAAAGGCCTTTGACTTTGCTCAGTAGTGGGTAGTGCTGAGAGGTGGTGGGTAGCTGACTGGAAACAACTACCAGCATTTCAGCCAGAACTTTTTGGAAAGAACCCCCAGCATTTCAGCCAGAACTTTTCCCTCAGGACAGCATTCTAGTTAGGGATGGAAAGAGAAAATGCAACATTGTGTTCCCCACTTTAGTTGCCATGTGGTAAAGCTATACTCATTTCCATTCTCGCTCATCAATACCTGCAGGCATAGAGAGGCCTTATTATACAGTTAAACATTAAAGCAGTATCTAACGTCCTTCCTACCCCAACATCCAAAACCTAGAACCTCTGAAATGAGCCTTTCAAATTTAAATGTCACATACATATTTATTAATTAATAGCCAGAAATATAGCAAAATAACAAAAAGAAAAGAAAAAAAATAGTAGATCTATGATTTTTTTTTTTAAATCAGGCTGACTTATCTTCTCATGAGGCTGAAAAAACCCGAAGTTACTACGAAGAGCGTCTATCATCTTTACGGATGAAGACCTGCACCCCAGTTGTCTCTCATGGTGTGGCAGCCATGCACCAGAAGGCCGTGAAAATAATTGCATACAAAAATGGAGATGGGTATCGAAACGGGAAGTTAATTGTGGCTGGAACATTCCCCATGGTAAGTGACTATCACTTAAATGCTTCTGGCATCCTCAGAGGTAATAATAATGGTGACAAGAAAAAAGCTGCAGATTGAGTCATAAATGTCCCTGACCAGTTTCACCAATTTAAAACGAAGAGATCAAGATCTCTGCTTAAAGATCTCTTTAATTTTATTTCTTGGGATGCAGACTTTGAAAAATGAGAAACACGATATGGTTTCCACATTGACAACCAGAGCAAAGATCTATAAAGCAGGGGAAAGCAAAACTTCCAGATTATCTTCATTATTGCGCTGGCAGATGACTTTTTGCTTTGCTTCCCACTCCAGCTTCAGGTTCTATGTCATCTCAGTTTCAAAGAGATGTCGCCTCACTTATCATCTGGGAAATCTGAGCATTTATTTTATTTTTTATTGTAACGGTTTATTTTTACATCATTTTGTGCCCTTTTCCATCTCAGTTGTAATCCCCGTGGGCTTCCCATCACCAAATCACCCGTGTGCCATCACCACAGTCCTGTGCACTTACCCCCCCAACACAAGCCCCCCATTTTTTATCCTGTTCCTCACTCTACCTCTGTAAAATGTCTCTGGTATATAGATGTTTATTATTATTATTTCCCCCCTGGTCCTTTATGAGCATTTTTTTGGGGTTGTTCCATCACATTTTAAAATCAGAAAAGCTGTGCTGGGAGGGATATGTGGTCTCTGTCTTGGGGCTGTTCCCCTATAGTCCCAGGAAGGACAGAGAACACAAAAGACTCCACCCCGCACTTATCTCCTTTGGTGATTATCTTCTCTCTACATTCTGGTAATGGCATCTCTTTCAGCAATGTTAAATACGACATGGAGTTAACCCTGGAGATTGCTTTGCAAACACACACACACAGACTTTCATTCATCTCTTTGGTAAAATACAAATAGAATGTTTTTATTAAGGTATTGTTGTTCAGTGGACTTAAGTACAAAAGCTAGATTCACCTTGGGATCCACAGCTGGCTTTTGTGGTTTAGGTTAAAATATTAAGCTTTCAGTCTCTGTTCCTATCTGCGGAAAGGAAGTAGTAATTGTGTCAAGTTAGCTTGAAAGTCAAATATTTATTTTAAAACAGTCAATTGAGTACAAAGTATTAACAATTTTAAAGCTTCTATAGCAACAAAATGAAAGTTTACTTCTAGGTTCAACATTTCTTAGGAAATGCTCTGATGACAAAAGGTATTAACATGTGTCCAATGCTATTCTAAATTTTTGGAACTACAACTTTTCACAGCTGGATCAGACTCCTGTTGTGGGATTAGTTAGGACAAAATTGTCTCTAATCAAAAATCAGATTGGTAGTTATTTAGCTTTCAATTTTCTCAAATTAAAGGATTTTCTCATATTCTTTAAATAACAAGTTCTTTGTGATTATTTCCTATTCCCTTCAGTTCCTTATACTCTGTGTCATCTAGCTTCTTGCAGAATGTACAGAACAACTTGGTCTAGCTAGAGCAGCCTCCAAAGTATATACTAAAGATGGAACCTCAATCCTTTCCTTGCGTGAATTGGTTTTATGGGCTCTAGATGAATCTTTTGGCCAGAAAGTCTCCGAGGGTCAAAAGAACAATGCAACACTTCCTGGAACAAAAGAGACAACTGTTGAAAGCATGGAAGGTTGGTTACAATCTACAGAATTGACCTGGTTCTATTTATGTTTGATCATAACAACTTAAATGTGACTCTTTAATTCACTCATTCCTTCTAGAATTTCAAGGTCATAGAAATTACTGCCAAGAGAGTCTCATATTGTTTTTATTTTAAAAATAATATGAAAAAGTTTCAAATGATATCAGTTTGGCTTCTGTACCAAAATGAAAAATAAATTTACCTAGAAATTGCAACACAGGTTTAACAGCTTAATTGGTTTATAAAATATGAGCAGCTTATGTACTCAAACTCAGGACCAGTTGGGCACCACTGAAGGAAGTGGGTACAACTCCAAATCTCTTCCGACTATTAGGAGAGACTCACTATTAGGGGAGACATACCCATTTCATATGTCCCTGCACAGCTCCTTGGCTCCAACTTCAACAAGCCCTCGGGAATGTGTCTCCACTGCAGTGTGCTGTTAGCATTCTGTGTGTAATTGTCTGCTACACCATGGTGAGTCTCACTAGAATATGTATGACTCAGAGGCAGGACTTTGTCCCTAGTAATAGCTTGCTAAATTCAAGTGCATTGCTACTGGTGGTTCAGCAGTTATCTTAGGTTTCTACTATTGTAACACTGAGTGGCATGGCTCAGCCATTAAGAGCTTGGGCTCTGGAGCTAGAATACCTGAGTTCAAATCCTCACTCTGCCATCTGACAGCTGAATGATTTTGGTCAAGTTGCCTAGCTTCACTATACCACAGTTTCCTCATTTGTGAAATACGAACACTAAAATAATCTGCTTTATGGAATTTGTATGAGGAATATATAAGTATATATTCAAATAATGAAGGAATATTGGAAATGAATATATATTCATATGAAAAATTACTCATGTTTAGTTCTCATAAATATGAATATGTATTCATAAGACTGTGAATATATGTATATGAATAACATAATTATATATCTATATATCTCTTAGAACAATGCCTGGTTGATATTTACCAACATTATATGAATACTAGCTATCATTATTATACATAGAATTGTGTATTTCTACCATTTATAACATACTTCAGAGATTGTGGGGGATTTTTACTCACACCAAACAATTCTATGGCATCAGTTGGTTTTCCTACAATTTAGTTCAATTCTAACACTATCAACCTAGAGATAGCATCAGACACCACAGGTTAAGGGCTCCCACAGACTTATCCTTCCACTTCAGTGCTGCTTACAAATTTGGTTGTTACCTGTATTTCTGACCTACTAGCTATAAACCAGAAGTTCCCATGACCTCCTCCTCACATCCAGTTAATTAATTTACATTAGCAGTTAAAAAAGGAATAAAGTAGGGAATGGATATACCTAAGTACCTAGTGCAAGGTGAGCTTCAGATATGTTAATTTCTACTAAAGTATAGAAAGGATAGAGTTAGCAGTGTCACAAAACAACCCCTTTATGAAGAATTTGAAATAAATTTCACTTGGATCGAAGGACCAGGAAAGGTATATATTTTCTGAGAAATTTGGTACTTCACAGATTATGTGGTTCTTGAAATTGTGTTTTCTTCTTTGCTTTGCCTACCAGGAAGCTTGGATACTAATTTGTGCTTTATCCCTAGCAAATGAAAACAGTGAGGTATTCATTTCCATTTAGTAATAAAAATATCTACATTTTTGGATGCTTGTTCAGTTAAATAGACCAAACCTCCTTTAACTCTAAGTACTTTAGTCTTTTTTTACTTTTAATATTACCATGAGATTAAATGAAGCAGACACTATTATCCATTTAAGAAGCAAGGGTAACTTATCTCTTGCTTTATTTAGTCCTTTCCTAAATCCTTTCCCTTCTTTCCTTGGTCTTCTTATGTCTGTTTTTAAATCTATTTCCAGAGTAGATATTTTGGTAAACCACTTCAAGTTTCTTTTTGATCTAGGTGAAATGTATGAAAGGGATTAAAATGTGTATTTCATACAAATTAGTTTAAATTATTTTGCCATGGATATTTTTCATATAAGATTCCTAAATTGGCTTCTAGTCCTGGTATTGCTATCTAAATCAAACCATTAAAGAAGAATACACTATTTGAAATAAACAAATAAGCACATTTATTCATTTTGTTGTCGTTGAACAATGCTTTGTGGTTTGTTTCCCAGAAAACACAAGAATGAAAGTGAAAAGCACCTTACCTCCCAAGTCTGTGACCTCTGATAGTTTGGAGGGGATAGATAAGTCACTGCTCACCCTCGGCCTCAGATATCCTGTCCCCATCTGGGTATCTTGTGGTGAACCATTTCTATCTCCAAATAGTAAGTTTTGGGGAGGGGGTGCGTGTTTTCTTACAGGCAAATGTGTAAAGGGCTTCGAAAAGAAACAAATTTTAGAGCACCACAAGAAAATGAGTTAAATATATAATGTCTGTTGTCAACCTAGTAACAGCACATTTATGCAAAGGAGAGCACAGCCATCAATTAACACATGCTCAAGGAGAGCTGCACTCCCATGTTTGCCCAATTGCCTGTTTTTTCTTACTGGAATGGAGTATTCAGCATGGAAAAATGTCTAATTTAGTTGATAAAGAGATCCTTGGTCTATAAGACTGAGAATAATGGTATACATTAGAAAATAACAAATGAGTTTAATTCACACCGAAGACGACCTGTCTGCACATTTTCATTTTTAAGAATTGCACCCTTTAGGCAGTAGGTGGATGTTTAAAAAATGAATGGTTCCAAGCCAGGCTTTCATCACCTCCAAATAGTTTGTGGAAGTGCAAAATGAAATATGGCTATTGCATATGGTAAATCTATATAATAAAACAGCACTGTTCTTTTTCCTCCTCCATTCCATAAAGAAATGCCTTAAGCCCTGTCATCTTTCAAATGAGGTTTCTTTTAATGACCCCTTACCTTTTAATTACTTGTTTCTAATTGAATCTGTTTCTTGAAGCAGAAAGTTCTTTATAAATTATTGGCTTGCATGATAAATTGCTGTTGTTGAAAGAATGCAAGATAAAATATCATGTATTTGTATTATTCTAGCTTTGCAGAAAGCAGAAAAGTTAGAAAAACAGAACTGGTTGAAAAAGGACAAAATTTTGGCTGATCTAGATACCATGAAACACAAAATGAGACAGTTAAAAGGTTGGTATGAACTAAAGCAGGCATCGCCATGTTTAATTTTAAATGTAACCTCAGTTTTTTTTCTGCTATTAGATAACAGGTGTTTAACTATCCAAATATTGTATTATCAGGACCTTTGAGTGAATCTAAAATCCCCAATGATCTCTTCAATACCCAAACATCTCTTCAATACTGATTTTATATTTGACATGTATATATATATATATACATTTTAAAAAGCAGGAAGCTGTCTCAATCCTATAACCACCCTATTGGCTTGGAAATTATCAGTCTTTAAGAAAAACTTGTCATTAGTTGGTTGGTTCTGGGGAAGATGTTTTTAAAATAATCGAAGTGAGGAAGTACTAAAATTTTCTGGGGCATCAGTATCTCAGAAGGGCCTCTTTTTGTGCAACTTAAATATGTCATGCATTGTCAAAGTGGGACTGCTGGGAAACAGAGTGTGAAAACAGGCATTTGTAGAGGTATGAGCCTATAAGCCCTAAAACTAGAACAATGATATAAAGCTACTTTTCTTTGATTTTAAAAAAAAAAGTAGTCAACTGGCATATTTGTCGTTGTCTTCATTCTTTGTCACAGAATCTTAAGTTCCTAACCTTATACTGCTTGCAGTATTTGATACACCAAAATGGCTCTTTAGAGAGAAATAGTATGTAATGGACTTTAGTCTGGAAAGGCATATATTTCAGGCTTTATAATTGTTATAGCAGGATTTCAACTCCTGAGAATGTGCACTTCCTGGTGTCAAAACCTGTGAATCTTATTTCAATAAACAGCACAATGAGTCAATCCTGAGTGTACGAGGCAAAACTCTGGGTTGAAATGGCTATTATCTAGTTCTTACTAAAAGAATTGTGTGGTCTAAGTGAAAAACATCTATGACTATGGCTAACCTCTTCTCCTCTACTACTATACATTCTCATTTCAATGTCCCATGTGCAGGTGCAAAACTAAATTATCACACACACACACACACACACCAGTGCCACCTATCATTTTTTTCTAGCAGTAGTACCACCGGCCTGCCTGTGTTCCATCTCAGAAACCTGGAAATTATCCTTGGCATGACCTTCTTAACAGAAACATCCATAACTCTTGTTGCTTGAAATCTGTTAATTTCAAATTAATTTTAACTATATTAATGCCCACTATCTTTATTGAAATCAAGCTGTTCTCATCTACTCCTTGGATTACTGCAACAGTTTTCGAATGTGTCTCTCTGGCTCCAGTCTTGAGCATGATTTTTATTCTGTACATAATGGGGAGATCCTGGAGCTAGCGTGCTCATGGAAAAATGCAGAAGTGTTATTATGGTACTCCAGGCGTATAACCTTTCAAAGCTCCCTGTTACCTTTAGGACAAAGGTGCAGCTTCTTAACTTGACCCTTGGTGTGTTCTCTCTCTGCGCACATCTCTTTCTCCTTTCTTACATCTCTTTCTCCTTTCTTACCACTCCATTTCACAAATTTGGATTTTTTTCCCCAGCCCTCCAAATACTTCATGTGCTTTCTCAATATCGGGCCTTTGGCACAATTCAGTTCTCTTTGCTTTAAACTTTCCTCTCTCCTGTTCTTCTGTATTGTTCCTACTCCTTTTATACTTTTCAGCTACTTATGTCTTCAAAAGCCTTCCCTACCATTCCAAGCCAGAGATAATGTGGTTTATCACATCCCAAACTTCCCACCTAATAGTTTTCATCTCTCACTTTTATGTTGCATGATCAATTCTATGCCTTTGCTTGCTCTCCTAATATTTGTGTAATGACTGAATTTTGGAGTGAATGGAACTTCAACCACGTACTACAGTGTGTTTTCCAAGCTCTATTCCTATATCAAGTTAAATGAATAGAAAGCAGCAAACTGAAAATAGGATCTGGCAGCATTGCCTTTATTCAATTCTGATTTTATAACATACTTTCAACTTTCATTATAATTAAGCATTAAAAGGACATTCAAAGTTTAATTGGCATCATCTATAATGTCTCTGTTGAAAACAGTCTGTTTGGTGAGACGATGTCCATTACGGAGGGATGCACAGATGTGGTGTCTTAGAATTCAGTGCCAGAATAAAACTTATCTGTACTCAAAATCCAGTATGTTTTCTAATACCAAATATAGCTTGAATTGAAGCTTATAAAAGACCTTCTCTAGGGAAAGTCTTTCCTTGTTGTTGGTATTATGAAAAGAGATAAGTTCAGCTTACTGTTTGTTCAGCCCCGTTTGATTGTGAGCTTCTTGAAGTTTATATGGAAGAGGAGGGTTGGGAGGTATCGATATTGTCTGAATTGATTATTATTATTATAGCCATTGGTAAGTGCAACAATCTTTATATAGTATATACTGTATACAAAATACTCTGCTATGTTTTCTTTGTATATGTTTTGTAAACATGATCATTGCTAGCATTAATAGTGATATTAGAGGTTACTCGATAGAGTGTTTTTGATTAACAAATGTCAGATATTTTCTACATGTTTAGCACATAAATACTCAGTAATATTAATATACTGTACATAAGAATATACCTCTTTTTCTCATTTGGGATCTTAAGAGCTGATAAATAAAACTAAGAAATATCAGATCAGATAAAAGTAAAACTGTTGAAATATAAAAACAATGCTGGAGCATTTTATTTATTGTAGGAGCTAAGTTTCTGTGAGTTGAAACCCCAAATTAGGTGGACTTGCAGCCCCAGGCATCGGTGATGCTAAATCAGGGTAAGCCTCCCAATAAAGGAGAAGTAAAAACGTTTGTCCATGTGACATTTATAGTCTGAAGTAATAGCAAATCACTCATATAATCTATCTTTACCAATTAATTGTTAGCTATTATCACTATAAAATAGCACATATGCCAATATGCAATAAAAATGATTTAACAATTTTTGCCTGATTTTCATTTCTGTTATTCTTACCTATGTGATAATACTTGTTATGAAAACTTCCCTTCAAACCAAAACCTCTTATGATGACATTATGCCTCCATGAATTTTATAGTTCAAATGGATTCATTTTCTCAAGATAGTTAGAATCAAATGACAAAAACCTAATAATGCATAATGCTATTTGTTCTTTCCTATATTCTATTCTTTTCTCTCAACACTGTAAAGGATAAACTATTGGTGAACAGTATTAGTATTCTGAATGTATCATAAGTAAAATATCTGTTGAATAATTATTGATAAGAATTTATGTATCATAAATTAATGTTGTCTGCACTTCATGAATAGAACTGGCCAAAAATTATACTTACCATAAGTTTGTTTTAAGACTTTTCTGCTACCACTCTGGCCTTTTCCATTGCAAGTAACTAAATGGCATTTCACTCTTATTCATTGGCTGATTGATTCAGTTATGTTAGAATTCACATCCAGAAGTTGTAGATGAATGTTTATTAGGTGCCTAGAGTTCTGGTTGTCCTGAAAAATCATTGCTACCATATACTTTTATTGCTGGGTCTTTTTCTACAAACTTGAGATACAAAAGCAAAAATACTTTATCCTCTTAAAGCACCAATTTATTTTCAAAATGTTTTGTTCAAAGTCTAGAAATCTACTGCTAAGGATCTTTGGCAACAAAATTAGGACTCAGAGCTTCATTTTGGTATTTCCTTTATTTTATCCATGTAAATCTGACTTTCTCAGACTAGGTCAACTGCCTCAGTTACATGCCTTTGTAGACCCTGGGTTTCTCTGGCATGCCACAATTGCAATCAATTATTGGTGTAATGATTTCATTTACATCTGTATTCCCATTAACCTTGAGACAAGGTCTCAATCTTTAACATGTTTGTATTTGCCTCATCCAGCACAATGTCTGATTTGTAACTGGTGCCAAGCAGAGATTTCTGGAAGGAATATAAGAGAGTAGATGTTATTTTCACTTAAGAAGTTTAGAGATCAGTGTGAGACCCACAAAAAAAAAAAACAGTTTCATGACTTTCAAACCTCTTTTATAATGATTTTAACTGGTCTGGCTGAAAGAAAATTCAAACTACTACCTTATTAAATTACACCTGTGATTCTTAAAATACAGCATTCTAAAAAATATTTTCTCTTATCACAGCATCTTAACAGCCTAAAGGGCACAGCAGAGGTGGCAGAAACTAATCATACTCCTGGGGTATTATTAGATAGAAAAAAAAGGCCTCCTGTCTCTTGGGTTAATATTATTTTAGAAATACTTAATCCCCAGGCTGCTAAGCTAATTGTGGGGGAAAGGCTTATTATTAGTGAAGAGAACAAAACATATGTTCCATGACTAGAAGAGATGATGGCCTATATAGGTCATAGATTCTATTTGACTAAATTACCACTGAACCATATCATAGATGAGAGACTGGGGCCAGTGTGGAAGTCAGCACGTTAGCTTCTTTTCCATCTGTACAGTGAGTATGCATATTCTAACTATTTAAAGACTCCAGCTCCCATCTGAAGAGGCATTGTTAGATATTATTACCTTAGGCATCTTTGCTTTTATGATATATTTAGTATTTTAGCCTATGCTCCCAAGTGGAATGATTTATGCATAGAAAGTCAAACCAATTTATTTGAAATTTGAAAACCCATCATCAGAAACAACATTTCCAGGGACGTCTTTCCCCAGGGCGCCGAGTAGCAGCATGTCAGTCGGCCACCATGGTTCCCAGCAAAAGCCCTGTGCAGCCAGTGGTGGTGGAAGGAGGCTGGACGGAGCAGACTCAAGAGGAAATTAAGCTCATGGAGCTTATAAGACATACAGAGGTACATTCTTTAGGACTCCAGACATTAAAGACGTTGCCTCTTTCATATTCTTTTAAAGTACAGCATTGAATTTTAAAATTATGCTATTAATATATTCTCAGCATTTGGTCAGTTATAACCACATAAGCATATGCCAAGCATTGAGTTGGCATTTGGAGAGTAGCTATCTAAAAGACAGCCAGCTCATATGAAAGTCTGTTTTGTTTGAATGAAGACCAGAAATTATGACCTTAGCAAAGAAGAAAAAAAGGCCCAGTGGATATGTACAAAAGTAATTATAATAAGTATAGTCAAGTTGAGCCTTATGGCGTCATTGCTCATCACTCCTACGGGTATATCTTGATATGTAAAAAGAGCAAGGAGCAAAATACTAATTGTAATGGAGACATTCAGAAGTGAGGAATTCAAAAAGCACTTTCAGTCCAATTGGTTAATCATTCAGGATTGCCAGAACATAAAAAAGTCAAGAAGAGAAAGGTCAGCTGTTGAGAGAGGATTGGGGATAGAGACGTGGGGAAAACTTTTTGCTTTGTGAAGTTTTTCATCAAAATGATATGTTCTTATTTAATAGGGTTTCTCAAATCATGGAATGTGTTCAATCTAAATCTTAGGCATGTGCTCAAGTCAAGGTTACTAGAAAAAAGAAATTGACATTGCTAGAAATATGACTTCTTGCCAAGCTGAGAAGGATAAATCACTGACCAGGGAATGAATGCAAAGCATTGAACTAGGACATGCTTGAAGTAGGATGAAAAGCTGCCTGGCAGGTATCTGGCAAAGTAAGAAGGTGGCTGCTGCATTAAAAGACTGCGAGTAACAACTTAAACAACAGTCATGCACACTCCCTCAAGCATTTCTTGGTAAAAGGAAATGATGTTGTGACTCTAGTTAAAAACTCATTTGTTAGATGCAGAAAAATCACTCAGTAGGAGAAATACCGTATAGAAGTACAGCAACACATCTCTACTCATTTCTCCAAAGCATAAATGAGTCAAGTGCTTTGCCAAAATAAGTACTTTACTATTATTACGCTAATGGTTATTATTGCCTTTTGTGACTCACTGAAGGAGGGGAAATTTACAGAAGTGTCAGTGACAAGAGAGGGAAATGCACTTCCTAAAATGTTTTTCAACATAAATTGCAATTGTAAGATACTTCTGTCTTTCATCATGTTTTTCATGCACACACTTAATAGACAGTTCTCTAAGCATGGCATTCTCTGGAATTTTCCTCAACAGGCCCACCTTTCTGAAATCCAAGAACTGCAATCCAAGAGAAACTCTCCAGTTGCAACTAAGGGTACTGCCCACAAAAAGAGCAGCCTCTATAAACAGCCAAATGCAAAACGAGTGTGGATTTATCTAAACGGAGGCAGACCTGCAGATGGAACTTATGCCTGGGGCAAGACGATTGCAGAGGTAACGCTTGTGTGAAAATGAATGTTTCAGGGTGTTTCAAAGCTCAACTTTGACATTTCTGGATTGTTAAGTCAGACAAATTATATTGCATCTAAACTTCATTTTCTTATCTGCAAAATGGGAGTAATACTTCCTGCACATGGTTGGCATGATGATTAAATGAGCTTGTGTGCGTGAAAATGTGAGTCCAACACTATATGATGTGTGGGTCAGAATATGTCACTTATCCAGCAGAGGACAATGGCGGTTATATTCACTGTAGCCAAAGAGTGAACTCAAAGCCTAAGACTCTAAAATGTTTTCCCTGCTTCATTTTATTTCTTTGCTTGTTTGTTTTAAAGATTTATTTATTTATGCATACAAGAACTGGGGTACAGGCCAGAGGTGCAGGAGTTGAGAGGATTCACCAGAGACGGAGTAGGGAGCAGAACAGGTGGATCCACTGAAATACACTGCTGAGGAGAGCAGTGGGCGGGTCAGGAGAATTCTGTGCCTCCATGTGGGTCCCCTCCCTGGTCAGGGTTGAACTCATACAGCAGTGGCTGGTGATAGCTTGATAGCACTGAGACTTTAACCCCAGCACTATTAGGGAAGCCCTCCCAGTTTTAAACCCAGTTCACAAAATCATATTGTTTTCCCCATCAGAAATGTTATGTAGAGAAAACATAACATTGTAGAAAACATAACACTATACACAGTCCTTGAATGGTGACAAGTGTTCCAATCTCCCAAATTAAGATATTAATTAAGGAAAGGATGAGAGGCGATTTATTGCTGGCAATGTCAAGGATGTAATCCTAAACTTGGACACTTAAGATAATTAACTAAAAATAAAGCATATAAAAATTGATTTTGTTGGGCTTTTGTTTTTTTTAAGTCTCATCTGTTGAAGCGACATATTGAATGATTGTTGTTTTTTTTATTGTAAAATATTTTTATAATTTTTTCTGGGACAAGAGCTAGTCACACAGAGATGAGGTGGTGTATGGGACAAAAGGAAAGACAAGAAAGTACAGTATACTGACCTGGAAATTCAGTGGGTGCTGATGAGGACACCTAGAACAGCAGGTATACCTTGAGTTCTGTTTCTGAAGAAGAATCTGGTTTTAAACTGTGAAGAAAACCACTCCTTTTTTGAGAAGCACATCAAATTAGAACCATTCATACATTGTTAATTTAAAGCAGAACTTCATGTCCCAAAATTTCAGTACCAATTTGCAGTACCTGAGGAAAAAAGGAGTTAAAAACCTGAAAATGCATATTCAAAACTGTAATACAATTAAAAGAACTCATAGACATGATGGGGAATAAGAAAACACTTTTTTTAAAAGAATGATGGGGTTTTTTAGTAGAAAACCTGAAATATATCTCCTTGCTGGCTCTCCAAAAATCACAGCATTCATATTACAGATGCTAAATGTTGAACTGCACTCAACTGTTTCAACTAGAGCTGATAAATTAGAGAAAGAATAGGAAATGAACAAATAGGTAAAGGGTAGAGCAAGGATGATAAGACAAAGATAGCTTATCACATTCGGTAGCAAAAACTTACAGTAAGTTCTTAAAAAACTACATATATCTAGTAGAGGGATGACTTTTGATTTATGTGGCTCTCAGTGTAGCATATAAAAGGCACTCCATAATAATATTACCCCATGATAATACATTTTGTATGCACTTTGTACATGAAGGGCACTGCTCTAGAAGCTGTAAAGTACTAGTCGAATTTATGTATGTGAAAGAATATGTAAACCTTATAGTGTGGTATAATTGACAGGTTGGCATTGATAGTAGTGGTAGCAGTAGGAATAAAATATCACATGGCCTATGCGCTCATTAAATTAATGTTTCAGATTGGCAAAGCACTTGAAAATAGGTCCAAAGTTCATGGGTGTATCGAGAAATGAATATTCTTACATTGATTGAATACTCCAACATTTTTGGAAGTTAATAAGGCTATACATATTGTAAGAAAATATCCTTCTAGAACTTTATTTGAAGGATATGTTCATGAATTTATGCAAAAATTATTTGATAAGAATGTTCATCACAGAACTCCTTCTAACAGAGATAGGTTAGAAATAATTTAGTCACTGAGTTGAGGGTTAGTTAATAAATATAATATGTAAGATGGAATACTGGAATTTAACACTGACTCTGAAAGAATAATAATTATAAGGATATTCAAGATAACACTAAGTGTGAGAAGCATAATATAAATCCTGTGGAATATGGATCTATAAACATACACATTCACCCCTAGAGAAAAAAGACTGGAAGTATTTTCATTGGGGGAAGTATTTTTTTGAATGGTCTCATTGCTTATGTACTAATTGTGGTATTTCTCCCTCATTTATTTTTCTGTGTTCTATATTTTGTTGTGATGAGCACAGATTTTTTTAGTAAGCAAAAAACCATTTGCTAAGAAAGCAGACAATCCTCTTAGAGAAGTCATAGCAACCTGCTACACAAGTGACATTAGTAGTGACATTAGTACTGCAGGCAGGAGGCTCAGTGGGGGTTTAGAAGAGGGGAACACTGTGCCCCCTGGAGTGCAGGAGAAAGCCTTCACAAAGGAATCAGTCAGGACCATTGATGGAACTTGAGAAATTGGGTAAGACTCAGTGTCTCAGGGAGAACAAGCATTAGCAAGAATGAGGGGCACTGCTCAGGGAGTGTTGCTAGAATTCGTAGAACGTGTCAAAGAGATGACTTTTAGACATGAAACAGAGAAATGCATACAGCTGGAGTGATTGTATGAGTCTGTTCTGATAGCTACAATAAAATACCATAGACTGGGTGACTTAAGCAATAGAAATTTATTTTCTCAAACTTCTGGAGACTGAAAATTCAGATCAGGGTGTCAGCAGGGGGTGCTTCAGATGTAGCTTCTCTTTTTTGGCTTGTAAAATGTCCTTCTCTCACTTCCTTTTGTCCCCACATAGCCTTTTTTCTTCACATATGGAGAGAAATTTCCAGCATGGCTTCCTTCTTTTTTAGGACACCATCCTATGAGGCTAATGACTCCCCATATGATTTCATTTAACCCCAATTACCTCTTTAAGGCCCTTTCTCTAAATTCAGTCATGTTGGCTTCAATATTAAGAGTTTGGGAAGGACACAATTCATTTCCTAACTCTTAGAATAAAGTGCTTGAGCCACTGTCTCTGAATAAAATAGTAGCATGGTGAAAGCAATGTTTCTGGGACAGAAAAGTGACCTCAGTGTGTAGGAAGATACTTGAGGAATGTCTAGAATGTTTTCTGTATATTATTTCTTCTTTTGTTTTACTTTTAAAACTGCTCTTTCTAATATCTTTCCTTTCTTTTACATGCTTTCTATTTTTGCTTTAAGGAACCTGCATGATATTTTTGTGATCACTTAGAAATGTATCCTTTCAGGCTGTCAGGATGTGAGAATAATGGACTATGGTGTGTGAAACAAATAGATAACTGAAAGAATAGGATTTAGATTTCACTGGGGGGACCTGGCTAATGACACCAGTTCCAAAGAAGTTCAGAGTTTCAATAGTTGGTATTTTCACCAGAAGAATGAGGAACAGGACACATTTCAAAGTGCTTCACTCTGCTTCCCGTCCTGAAACCCCCAGATAGTACTCGAATCCCATCTAATGCAGACTTTTCTCAACTTCTTTCATTGCTGAGGCTATCTGGATGATTTAACCGTATTCTTCTCACCCACTCTTTGAACTCTGCTCGAGCAGCTCTCATCTCCAACTGGTGAAGGCTCATCTGTCATCAGCACACCAAGGTGGCTCCCTCTTGAGGGTCAGTGACTCTTCAACATCTTTCCCTGATTTATGATCGTCCCCCCCCCCATGGTCTTGAAACATTTTTCTTCTCCTATCCATGCAACATTTCTCTGATTCTACAGAATCTCAAAATCAGTGTGCTCTTTCTCAAACACAGTTCAGAATGTGTGAGCAGAAGCTGAAAGAACGAGAAACAGGTTGGTTTAATTTGTAGAGGCAAGTAACTCATCCCCACAGGGAATATGAAGACTTCCAAGATGTCTTTGTTCCACAACTTGGGAAGATAAGGTCTATGAAAACTTAAGCTCACATCATATGTTATATAACTAAGTCTTTTTTTCTTCAGTGAAACTTTATAATTTTTACAAGGGTATCACATTTTAAACAAATTGCTCTTTGTAGTTGGTTCATCTTATGTCAGAGGACTGGTTCATAAGCACAGTATTTGGTCAAATTGCTGCTGACTGGTGGTCACTTAGCAGGAAGGACAGGGTGCACCATAGATGCTCTTTCACTACTCTTTTCTGACTGTCCCACTCTACTCAGGGGAAATGTATTCTGGGATGATTATTATTTAATTCCATTCATTCACCCCTTGTACGTTATAGTGGTTGAAAAATGCACTCTCTGAAATGCTTGGTCTGCATTCTCTTCCTTTCTTATCTTGTTTCATATTACTGATTCATTTTCCAGCCACCAGTGTCATTATGTGCCTACATCTGCTCCTGCCAGGCTGCATGTCTGTGTACTGTAGTTCCTAAATAGAGCTATCCACGTAATTATTGGTGGTAATTTCAGGCTCATGTGTACCTGAGTCCTGCATTTTGGGGAGCAGGTGTTTGGCCTGTATGGTCAGTAATAATCACATAGGCAGGTGTGTGGGAACATCTTACTTTCTTTCTGTTTAGGAGTCTTGGAGCATGTTGATTAATCTTTCTAGTGCTGTTAACATTTTGCATGAGTGTATGTGTTTTATAAATACTTCTAGAACAAGTGAGAGAAATTGAGTAAGCCCCTTCCAGATAGTTGTAAAGTTTATCAATTAACACAGACTTTCTTTTTTAGTATTGGAGAGTCAGAGACATCTTAGACTAAAACTTTTATTTTATAGTTGAAGAAACCTTTTCATTGTGAAGTGGACTGATTTTGTCTAAGGTCAAGCCTCCAAGCAGTACTTTGTCTTTCTTGTTCTCTACTCATTGAAGGAAAAACAGAGAACTGCCAGTGAAGATCCACTGAAGAGCACCATGATTCCTCATTGTGCAGAGAACTTTCATATGTTCTTCTCATCCTGCTGTACCTGTGCTTAACAGTTAGAATGAATATTTGAATTAGGATCATAATTCTTTTCAAAGAGTTTCTCCTCTGTGCTCAATAATGCTCAATAATGTAAGCAATAATGTGCTCAATAATGGTGAGACTTCCCCTCTCCCAATATGGCTCTCCCTGTATATTTCAGCTGCTGGATGACTGCTCTTCTCGTCTCAAAATGACCCAACCTGCCAGAACACTGTACACCCCACACGGAGAGTTGATTCAATCGTGGGATGATATAGAGCGAGACATGGTCATCTGTGTGTCCCCAGGAGACAGCTTTGTGACCCAAAAAGGTACGGGTGACAGTTCTTTTCCATCAAATTTTTGAAGTAAAGCATTCAGTCTTTTCTTCAAAGAGATGACTTGTGAATTTTAAATCCCATCATGATGATTTTTTTTTAAGATTTATTTATTTATTTGTGCATACAGAACTGGGGTACAGGCCAGAGGTGCAGGGGCGGTGAGAGGATTCACCAGAGACAGAGTGGGGAGCAGAACAGGCAGATCGATGAAGTACACTGGTGGGGGGAGCAGTGGGCGGGTCAGGAGAGGTCTGCCGCGCCATGTGGGTCAGGGGCGGGCTGGGATCAAACTCATGTGGAGGTGGCTTTAGCTTCTTAGTGCTGCGTTTTAATCCACTGCGCCACCAGGCAGGGCCTTATCATGATGATTTTTAATAATTGTGTTCCTCTACACTTTTCTGCTCCATGTTACTAAAATTAAATTTATTTATGTGCTGAAACCTCACCGGTGACACTGTATGCCCTGAAGGATTCAATCTTCTGTTACTCTTGAGCCGTACCCAAGGGATTATTGTAGAAATCCTAAAGGCCTCATTTGAAGGCTTTCTTTCTCTTAGTATGAACCTTGAGGAAAGTGAGATTCTACTGACTTTCTGCTTTCCAAGTTATTTAAAACTTAACATTTTATTAATAGCAACTATATAGTTTGCAGGTTTCCTTTTTCAGAATATGGGTTTGCTTAAGTAGCTTATCTCTTATCCATTACTTGATGCTTTTCCCTCATAAATTGTAAAAAATGGAAAGAAAACATAATTTTTTTAAATGAATTCTTGTCCTTTATTTTATTTATCCTGAGAGATTTAAATCCTCTTTCTGTAGGTAGGCATACATTAGCAAAAACATAATTTTCAGGAAATTATGAGGAAAGTTGCTATCACTTTCAAGGAAATTGAAAGCTTAGAAAGTGAATTACCTGGGACCCCTAAAATAACTAATACTATTTTATCTATTTTAAAAGTCCATGAAATTATCATTGCATCATATATATTAATATCATATATATTAATCATATATATTAATATATGATGTAATGGTATTCAAAACACAGACAGAAAGGCAGGCCTCTTCCCAGAGGCAAGCTTATCACCAATTTAAAAAAGCCATGAAGGGAAGAAAAAAAATTGATAATGCAAATATTAACCTCCCTGCCATTCTCCTCCATGTTAGTTCTGTGGCTCTTTGACAAACTATGTAGACAAACATTCATGTTTGCATCTTCAACTTTGTAATCACATGGTTTTGCTATGATGTGAAAGTTGATTCTTTTCCTTTGAAAGTGGCCCCATTATTTCCTTCATGGTGAAAGGAGTGATGGTTTCCCCCAAATATCTAAATTCTTTTCAGTGGATGATACAATTCTAGGAAATCTGATTGATAGCAAAAAAATAAAAATAAAAAAAAATCTAATTGAGACACTCTTTAGAAACCTATTTTGCTATAGGAAATACAATTTTGTTGTTTTGCCAAAAAGTTAGAAATAACCATTTAGTAGAAATCTAAATATTTAGAACATTTTGAAAAAGAAAAAAAAAGAGAAAGCATGTGTACATTTATGAAGGGACAGGTAATTAATCATTCCACTCAATATTTCTGTGACCTACTGGCTTAATTAACTGTGTGGTAAAAAATAAGGCAATCTGGGAGTTTCAAAACTAAACACTGTATAATAACTTACTTTATGTTCATTAACATAAAAACATTCAGCATGCAGAAGTCACTGATCAAAGAATCACATTGGTTTTTTAAAAAATCAATTTGTTTTGGTAAAACAAATCAGACACAGTTAGAATGGTTTCTTTCACACAAATCCCCTCCCCCCCAAAATTGAAAGAGTGCTTTATTCAGCTTGTCATCAAATCTAAGTACTGTTCTCAATGCTAGATAATCTTATAGTAGCTTCAGTTTTTAGACCACTCTTAGGTTGGCATCCCATACAGGCTTTATGAAAAGCCTGGAAGGAAGCCCCCATAACAACTGCCATTCTGTAGAAATCCAAGAACGACAACACATATCTGATGTGATAAGCAGTGAAGTGTGTGATGAGTCCATTGTGGGAATCAAGGACTTCTGAGGGCTCTTCAAGTTTTTCATCACCTTAGACTTTAATTATTTTCTATAAATATGTTGACTTGTCTCTTAAAATTATATATGTATTACAATTTTATATATGTGTGTATGTGTGTGTGTGCATTTTTTTTTTTTTTAAGCAGAGTTAAAGCGACTGATGGAGGTCAGAGCAAACTATGCCAGAATCCGTAGGCTGCAAGGCCCTCAAGCAACAGACATCATGGTGTCACCATCCACAAAGCTGCTATCTTTGGTATGTCGCCACAGTTAATTCCTGTCAGAACAATTATAATTCATGCTGTATTTCACTGGGGTAACTATGCCTACATACTCATGCACACACTATAATACGATGATTATTCATCTTCTTAATTTTATGCAGTCTCTTTTAAAAGTTATTACCTTCCACATTTTATAGAGAGTGGCATTTAATGCCTCAAATCTGTTCTTGGAAAGGTAGTAAAATTAGACAAAGCAATGCCAGTAAAATAACTATTTTAGGTGGATTTTCCCCCAGAAAAAAATACTTGTTTTAATTCAGAAAATATAACACATATAAAATATTTGATAATAAACTGATTCTGATCACTTAACACTAAATTGAGCCCAAGCTGCATTTTTCTTGTTTAACCTCCATGTTTTCCAATTCCCCATGTTAAAAATTCTATGTTAACTGAATGAAAATGAAATGGCTGGTGGCCACCCAACACCACATGAATGGATCTTTCCTCCTCCAATTTCCCTTCTGTTTGGCCAGCAGTAACACTGCAGGATTCTCTATGGAGCACAGCTAGGTGCTGTTCATGAGGATGCAACTGAATAATTCCTGACATTTACTCAGTAACCAAAAGTGATAGGCTATGTCCTTAATACAGAAACTTAGGGAAAAGATTTCTGCACTATTTAAAGAAAAACCTCAAAGATAATTTTTTAAGGGACCTGGGGAGATACTTAGCTATACAAAAACTAACAGCCTTACAGGAAATAAAATTACATATTAGTTTCTTCTTGCAATGGAAAAAGAATCATTAAAAATAAATAACAATAACAACAGTAACAAGTCAGTTTGGTTTCTTCACCTAGTGGAAAATTTGCAGAGAAATGCTCTTCTTTCTCTTTCTCTGAAAGCCACTCACAGCTCTGTCTGAATATAAATTGCGGCCTAGCTAGGTGTGTGCAGTGTGGCTCAGCTGGGCTCACTCCACAATCCACCACTTTAATGTGATGCAGGAAGGCAGTAGATCATCTCTACTGAAGGGGGCTCTTGGTAATCTTTTCCAAAGGCCCAGTATTTACTCCTAGTCTGCAAATCAGTAGGGCTGCATGAATAAATTCCTGCTGCCTCTGACACCTCTAAAAGCAGAGCACACTGAAGTGAAATTTCACATGTTACATCAACAGCAGCTTGCCCTTTTGCAGGCGCTCTCTACATGGTGAGTGATGTTAGCAGGGGAGGGCTTTCCTGCACAGCTTTGTGACAGGGAGGAGAAAAAGATCACACGTGACCTCCATTTTTCTTTTTCTGTTTTTAACAAGAAAGTTGAAACAGAGGTTAAAGAGCTTGCCTCCTGGTTAGAAAGTAGGCCAACAGGGTTCTTACCTGTGGGGCTTCTTTTTCCAATGATGGGGTCACCACAGGACTGTTGTTTTTTGTTATTTTGTTTTTCAAAATTCCTTGAAAACAAAGGCATTTCTGTAGGTGCAAAAATACCTTTCACTTTGCTGCCAAGGAAAAGTTGATTTGCTATGAAAATGGCATAATTTCACCCTGGATCAAATGTGCAAATTCTTGTGAAGTCTTCAGTGTTGCATGTGAATACGCCTGAAGCGAAAATTGGTAATATCACACAACGCTGTATCAAGCACCAGGAGACAAGGCAAAACTCTTAACTGAACTTTTCTATTACTAGTAAATGGGATTTTAGATGTAATGTAACAGTCATCAACACATCACATTTTACCAGCAAGGCGGTGACACCCACTCTGTGGATGGCAGCTGGCCTGGCTGGCTTGACAGTTTGTGGCCACTTTTAACCGAGCCTAAGAACTGCCACCCTTTCTTCATTGCTGAGCCTTTGTGCTTTGGTTGGCTGGAAGGTGGAGTGCGGAACTGTTACTCGTCTTTAACAAGGATGCTAGGGTAAGAAAGTTGCAATTCTGTTCAACCTTCCTGGGCTTTTAACAAGCCTAGTCATTTCCTTGGGGGATCTGTTTATCAAATTTGAATCAGCCTCATATGTGTAAGTCAGATTTCAAATTTTTCTATCAACTGAAAACCATTTTTTATTAAATACTAAAGCAACCATCCCCAAGTCCATGGTCTTCTCTAGAAATTTATTTCCTGCTAGTTCACAAAGGTCCTAGGTGATCCTGATGTTAATCAACAGCCTACCAGCCCTTGTGATTGCCCTCAGGAGGATTCTTCTGCTCCACCTTTAGCTTTTCAAGCCTGATGAAGTGTAAGGGTGGAAGGGCCCTTGCACTTCTAATCTGGCTAACTCGAAGGATATAGGCTTCAAAATTTGACAAGCACTTTGAGATTAACTGACAGCATTTACAAATAAGAAGCGTTTATCAGGGTGTTTTGTCAGCTTTATAAAAGAAGACACATTCGTACTGATTCAAAACACAGAATTTGTTTTCTAAAGTGATAACCCTGAATTTCCATTTGTTCTTGATTGTTCATAATAACGAAACAATTTGTGTGTGAATCAAGAAGACAAAGCAACTGATACGCAAAACAGAAACAAAAAGAAATTTGTTCTCTTTTCCTAGAAAATCACATAGTAATTGTGGCCCTTGGCTGTTGCAGCTTTTGTGAGCAAACCTTTAATAATAGCAGCCCAGGTGTGTTGAGTGCCATTGAGATTCCTGATTCACTGAGGCTGCAGATTATTTTCTGACATCATTTGGAACGGAGCAATCAAAACACACAGCCTGTATTATTCCAGATTATCACAAAATCAGATGCAAATGACCTCAGTTAAATGGAGTTTGGCCCCGACAGAGATTCTCAGTTGTTTTCATTAAACCAGTGGCTTCAATTCCCTGCTGCCTGTGAGCACAGGTTAGAGAAGGAAAAAAAGAAAGAGAGAGCAGCAGTTTTATTCTCAACACAATAAATGAGATCCTACATAAGTGGCTTGTTTGGGGCTGCTTGGCCTTATGCAACTGCAAGGCAACATCAACAGAGACCACTCAGGCAAGAGCTGATGAAGGTAAATGGACGGACGCCATAACAGGGGTGTGCGAGGGGGGTAGGGAGGGCTGCTGCCAGCTAGCGTGCTGGCTAACTGTCTGCAACGTGCAGCTACTATCTGTAGGCTGTCACCCGGTACCATGTGTGCAAATAGAAATATCTGAGGAGACATGAAGCACTTTTGTCCATAGTTAAACTGGATGGAGGGAGGGTGAAAGAAAGGAGACAGGAAATTATATTTATATGGCAAGGAAAGTGATTCTGAATCGGAAGTGCTGTCACTCATTGTGTGCTGTGTTTCTCTGCCAGTTGAAAGGTGAATATAGGGTTCAGTCAATGCTGGGCCATTGGTTCTAGCCTGGCAGTACTAGAAGTCTCGAACTTAGGAACTGAAATGGGTTTTAGCCTGGGTGTAGCAGCTCACTCAGACCAAGGCAGACATTCGGTCAATCTCTAGGCACAACCACTGTGTAGCTGTGTTTTAAAAGAAATTTCCCAAAGGCATACTTTCCTTAAATAAGCCTATGGATTGCAGGAGAGAGATGGAGGAGAGGAGGGGACCTCCCCAAACATCCTAGGGCTAGTACCCCAAATATATACAGTTTGAATTTGTCTTTATTTCTACCCTTCTGACAGCCTACAGATAGTTTCACATTGCAGACAGAACCTACCATGCGGGTAGGTTCACCATCAGTTCTAAGTGTAAAAGAACTTTGGAGTCCTTCACAGGCGTTATCTTCACAGGTTTTAATGGTAAACAGAGGAAACAAGCCAGCAGGGAGAGAGCCAGCTTGAGCCTCCTCCCCCAGGGTGACGCTGCCGCCTCTTTAGCCCCCTTCTGGGGACAGGTGTGCACACTTGCACATGCACAGATGCACCACACATGTTCCAGGTGTCCACAATCAGGCAAGTGCACCCCACACCCACATGCCTTCTGCGTTAACAAAGTCAAGGCCACAGGTGATAGCCACAGAGGCAAGTGGCTTAGAAAGCCTGATTAATCACGTGCCTGGCCCTTCCCTCCTCCTTCTGTCACTCTTGCCTTTTTCTCCTCAGTCTTCTCTGCCTTTCTCTTTTGAGACAAGAAAAGCATTCTTAAAACAATCCTCCCAGGAGCAACTTGTGGATCAGCAAAGGGTACTTCCTTGGAGTGCTTCTCAAAGTTTAATGTGCCAAAAAACACCCCAGGGAGGAGGAAGCAGGACAAAATACACAGTCCCTGGCCCGGCCCAGTGATCCTCAGTCTCTACACCTGAGGTAGGGCAGGAGTTTGCTCTTAGCCTGCCCACCAAGGTGCCCACAGTCCCCCACGTTGTCCACTGTGCTAAGTGCCACTTCCAAGGACACTGTTGACCCTTTTACCTCATGTTCAGGGGCTGCAAAGGCAAAGAAACACTGCTGCATGTGTTCTCATCACCATTTCCTTGAGAAATAATGAATAATTCTAGAAAAGGACTCGAATCCAAAAATTGTAACTAAGGCCATAGATGTTGAAGGTGAGCAAGTGATTTTGGGGGGCTGGAGCTTCCCGTGTTAATTAAGCTGCCTTCGGTGCTGATAAAACCTTGCTCTTTTAAAAGGTCATAGGAATAATGTCAGGACTAGGGTACATATGTGTAGGGAAAATGGAGTTAAATCAGATTTTTTCCGCCGTCCGGCCGCTAGACTGTATGGTCAGCACCTGCGGTCTTGCCCTTCTAGCTTGCATGGGCACTGTCATTACAGGCCCTGGGCTCGGCCCAAGCGTCTGGGAGAGTGGGCGTCTGTGCTGACAGGCTGCAGGCGAGGGGATGAAAGACCCGTGTCATTCTGAGGGAAACTACGAGACCACCGGAGACTGAGATGGAGAAGGCCAGAGGTTGTTGTTTCCCCGACTCAGCATTGAAGGTCTGTAAAAGCCACCGAAGCCTCCCAAATTCTCTTTGTGTCTGAGAACCAACAATGAATGAGGTGGTTGCTTAACAGTATATCAAGAAACTGATTTTGTGGGTGGGGGAGTGATTCTAAGCTAGATTTCTAGAGTTTTCTCAAGTACTTCTATAATAGGAGGGAGA